AGTGTTCCAACAGGACTCATTTCACGTAGTGTTAAAAGACATAACACATTCCTTTCACTGATCCAATCAGAATCTTACAGATCTGACGGAGGCGTAGTTTTGATGGTGTTTGGTAATTTTTCATTCGACAATAAACCATAACATCTGAAGTATAAAACTACGCCACGTCAGCTCTAACGCCAGTTCAAAGTGTTCCAGAGAAAGTGACGGCGTGGCCAATCCTGATCTATACTCTTCAACCAAAAGAAACAACGACAAGCTGAAAAATTCGTTTCTATACCAACTGCAGCAACAGTTCCTTTCAGAATAAAAACTGAACCATCCAGACCCAGGCTTGGGTCTCACCAGACGCCAAAACTGTTGTGTACCCGGAAGTAACTCAAATACTGGACTGATCGGAACCGCTGCTTTTCCTACCGGCTCGGTTCCAGAGAGGGTCAAGCTGGACCTCGATATTCCTGATCTAAAGGGGACTTCCTGAAGGGTAGGTAGACCGACATAATGGTGTCTCATGTGTTTATGAACCTCCTAACCAGAGCTTAATGCGAAGACAACACCTTCAGTTCCCATCAGAACAAGTCGCTTCTTCGGATTTGCTGGTTCTGAGCAACATTACACCTCACCCCATTCACCGTCTCATCCACTTTAGTTACAACATTTAGTTTTAAAGTCAGTCTAGTTTAATTTGTTAGTAATAAAATTCTTAACTTTTAAACTTGACTCTCTCTATTCTGTTGTCTCTGAGTGAATATGAAGCGGGCATCTAATCCCTGCAATAAAAAGTTCCAATCTTCTGGTTTAAATAACCTCACATATCCGTAAGGTGGATTTCATATTTCCCATGGAATCCCACGCCTTATGGCTTATTAAATAACCTGTAATCTAATTCATTACAATACAATGTAAGGAATGCAGAACTGTCAAGTACCCAGGTGGCAGGAATGACCAATCACACTTTAGGAAGTTTCAGAAGAGCTAATAGATGAGCTTATGGAGGGTTCTAAGGGGAACCCAGCTTCAACACAAGCGATTGTTTTCCGCTTGGTCCTAGTGCTCATTAATATAGCGTAATGTTGGATGGTTAAAAGTGCAGGGGACAAAAATGGACTTTGGAAAAAGTGGGGGGGGGGGGGCATGTCCCTCCTGTAACACCCCCCCCCAAACTACATCCATGCAGCCAGATATGGTGGAACACTGACCTGCAGAGCTCTGTGCACGTAAAGGGGTCCCAGTAGCCAGTGCAGAGAAGCTAGCGTAAAGTGGTCCCTCCTTCTAATCCCAGTCAGGAATCTGGCATCAGAGTTTTGCATGAAGCCATGCAGTTGCAGCCTGATTCAGCCCAGCATACAACGCATTACAGTAGTCGATGTGGGACATGATAAAAGCATGTGCGACTGTTTCCAAAGAGAGGTTTTATCTTAGATAGATAGTTGCTAATTTAAAAAAACAAGCTTGCATAACCATGCTGCATCAAATTTAAACTCCTCATCAAATTTCACCCCAAATTAGTGACCACATTCTTCTCATACTGGGACAAGGAAGATCACGTGAAAGTTGCTGCAGGTTTGAGGCATCATTATTAATGCCTTTGATGTTGAAAAATAAAATCAAGTTTTGTCCACCATGCAGTACCATCAGGGAGGTGTCTGGCCTCAAAACGATTCAGGAAAACAGATCCAAACTCACAGTTTAGGAACTACTTTCAGTCAGGTGTCCTGTAGTGATGATGTGACCTGTACTGGTGTTCTGACTTAAACACGTCTGCAATATATAGCAATGTATAATATCCTTTTTCACATTACCTCATGAAAAGAAACCCTGCTGTCATCTAAACATTTTAAGTTTACAACATCATATCTGTCTGTTCTCCTCTCACACACGTCTTTTGGCAAACACAAGCAAGGGTTCTGATTTCAAGGCAAGACTTGTGTTTCATCTCGTCATCCATCCGAAAAACCATGAAGGAGTAATTTCATTTCACTGACGCAACAAACATGCTAGCATTTATCGTCAACAGTGTTGACCTGCTCGAAGTTTTCTGCAGCATGTGACTGTTCTTTGTGCAGCACTGGCCATCTGCTGTGCAGGACCCACGTCACGAACAAACACCCACTTGTCTCTCACGCTTCACACTTACTAATCAGTTCACCTGCAACAGACAATACGAAAACAATATTTGAATTTTAAATGTTTCCATCAAGAAAAGCAGACATGAGGGGTCGAGGCATGAAACAAGCAAAGATAAATCCTTGTGTTTCAGCCACATCAGTTAGCTGGAAGTGACCATCACAGAAGGAAACTGAGAATAGACAGAACTGTGCTTGGCTTTTCTCTGAGAGGTATAAGACAGAAGAGCATTATCTTAAACTGTTCTCAGCCTAGGGTTGCAATTAATCACAAAAGGAGCTGTGACACAGAAAAGACAGTCATTCTTATCATCACTGTGTGCATAAACTCCATTAATCATATGATGAATGGGGAAAGGTGGCTGCACACATCTTGTCTGAAATGTCTGCAAAGGCCAAGGAAATTGTGCTTTTTAATAAGAAAACAGATCAATATTAGATTGTTTGATATGCTTTTGAAATCAACTTTTACTGGCAGGATTTGGCTTTTTTTTAACAGGAATAAAATATTATTTATTAATTTTAAGGTTAATATATAATAACAGAAAATATAAGGAAACTGGCACTCTGTTGCTGGCCTAATGCACATATAAGAAAGAATGTTTATAATTTAACACTCATGACATCACATTTCTTAGGGATTTTTATCTATGTATATTTCCTCCTGGATTTCTTTTTGAATGCTGACTGAAAAGCAGCTAAATTCCGGTTTAACAAATGCAAGAAATGACATCTATCTAGCCCTGTCTGTTTCTGCAGCTTTGCAGTTTTTTAATTATTATTTTCTTAGGTGTTAATGTTGTTCATTGAGTTTGTTCTTCTCAGCTATGATCATTGTGTAATGTCGTCCTCTGTCGGCCACTCAGAGAAGAACACCCAGAAGTGTGGTGCATAAAGGCAGCTGCAGCTGTAGCGACAGATCGAACCCGCCCCCCACTAACTTGATCAACCAATCACCGTTCTTGTTTACCATATTCAACCAATCAATACATAATTGGGACAGACCTATCAGTGTCTGATCCAATCGAACTCGGGCAGAAGACAGATCAAGTTCAACTAAGTTTCCAACAAAAAAAAAAAAATAATAATATATATATATATATATATATATATATATATATATATATATATATATATATATATATATATATATATATATGTATGATTAAATAAAATGACTCTAGGCGTAAAGTTTTTTTTAGGTTTGTATACTGAAAAATCTTATTAAAACTAAAATCAAGTTGAAGATGGCTCATGTAGCTTGAACAGGTTTTTTGCAATGACAATATAACAAAGAAAAAGTGCACAACTTGTTTATCAATATTATTATAATTATAGTTACCGGTATTATTATTATTTTATTATTATTATTATTATCATTATTATTGTAGTTGTAGTACTACTAATAATAACTAAGATAAACAGGGGTAGTAGTAGTAGTAGTAGTAGTAGTAGTAGTAGTAGTAGTAGTAGTAGTAGTAGTAGAAGTAGTAGTGGTAGTAGTACTACTACTAATAATAATAACTAAGGTAAACACGGGATGTATGTGGTTCATAAAAGCTGCTTTATCTTTTAAAAATATAAACAATTTCAAACATGTATTTGAAATTTGAAAAATACAGTAGCTGGTACAAAAATTATGAATAATATTTATTGGTTGTGATCCAAATCTGAGACCACGGTTCTCGACCAGAAAAGGGTGGCTTGCCAACTCCGGGTCGGGAGAGAGGTCCTACCTCAAGTGGAGGAGTTTAAGTATCTCGGGGTCTTGTTCACGAGTGAGGGTAGGAGGGATCGGGAGATCGACAGGCGGATTGGTTCAGCGTCTGCAGTGATGCGGACGCTGAGCTGATCTGTCGTGGTGAAGAGGGAGCTGAGCCAGAAAGCCAGGCTCTCGATTTACCGTTCGATCTACGTCCCAATCCTCACCTACGGTCATGAGCTTTGGGTAATGACCGAAAGAACGAGATCGTGGAAACAAGCAGCCTAAATGAGTTTCCTCCGTAGGGTGGCCGGGCTCAGCCTTAGAGATAGGGTGAGGAGCTCGGAAATTTGGGAGGGACTCGGAGTAGAACTGCTGCTCCTCCGGATCGAAAGGAGTCATTTGAGGTGGTTTGGGCATGTGGTCAGGATGCCTCCTGGACGCCTACCTGGGGAGGTGTTTCGGGCATGTCCTGCAGGAGGCCCCCGGGTCGACCCAGGACACGTTGGAGAGGTTACATCTCCAATCTGGTCCGGGAACGCCTGGGGGTCCTGCTGGAGGAACTGGTGGAGATGGCCGGAGAGAGGACAGTTCTGGGCTCCCTAGTTGGGATGCTGCCCCCGCAACCCGGACCCGGATAAGCGGAGGAAGACGACGACAACAGTTGTGACTATACTATACTATACTATACTATACTATACTATACTATACTATACTATACTATACTATACTATACTATACTATACTATACCATACCATACTATACTATACTATACTATACTATACTATACTATACTATACTATACCGTACCATACTATACTTTACTATACTGCAATTATATTTATTAATGATGTATCTTGTTTTTGGATGATTTTCTACTATCTAAATAAAGTGTGATAAAAAGGCAAAGTTACATTTTACAAAGCAGCTTAATCTTGAAAATGACCTAGTCATGCACCTTTTGTAAATATAAATATAATTTCATTTCACCACCACATGCGCATGTGACTTTTATTCTGAAATGCATTCACCGGAAACGTTGCTAACTGTTGCTATGCGGAAGCGCCGTGTCGTTCCCTCGTGTGTTTCAGGTTGGTCCTACTTGCTGAGCCTCTGAAGATCCTTATCTCTATTTAAATAAAGTGGTGGGCTCATTGTTAATGAGTGACATTGGTCTAATTTAAACAGTGAACGGGTCAATGGCTAACGTTCCTTTTGCTTTGTTAAACAACTAACTTTCTAATTCATTAAAGCTAACGTTAGCCAGCTGAGTGCTATTCCCTCACATGTGACGCCATAGCTGTTTATTTTCAGGGGGTAATTCAGCAAACCCTAGTACAAAACTATGCGGTTTTTTAAGTGTGTTTTCCCAGGTGAGCTGAGCTGGCATTGATACACCTGTGAAGACTGTGAGCAGCAGCTCCGATCCTGCAGCAGCATGTCCTCTCATGATGGAGAAGGCACTGCAGAGCAGACCTCTAACGTTTCCACCCCAGAGGAGACTGATTCCGCCATCATCACCGTCTACATCGGAGCCACTGTGCCCACTGGCTTTGAGCACACAGCTGCGGAGGAAGTCCAGGAGAAGATTGGTGTCGATGCACGAATCAGTAAAGATCGAGGCCGCATATACTTTCCAATCTCTACTGACAAACTTTTCCAGGTAGGAAGATTACACACTTGTTATTTCTGGTTAATTGTGCTTTATTGCTCGCCGCACACCGGTTTACAGAAAAAAGCTGATTTCTCTCTTGCAGGTTCATCGTCTGCGGTCTGTAGACAATCTTTTTGTTGTGGTGGAAGAATATGATCATTACCAGTTTAAAGAATCAAAGGTACCCCTGGCCCAGCTTTATTTTATATTGATCCGTTATGACCTGCATTAACTTTACTGTGGTTTATACAGGAAGAGACACTGATGGAGTTGCAGCAGCTTGCCTCTAAACTTCCTTGGTCTAATGCTCTGAAAGTTTGGGAGCTGAACAGATCCCTGAAAAAGAAGAAAGGCCACAGGAAAGGTGGAAACAGCACCAGAGTAAAGCCTGACAGCGAGGCCAGTGTCGCTGATACTCGGCAGCAAGAGCTACCTCGGGAGACGTCTCCAGCTGGAGGTGACGCCAAGACAGAGAGCGTGGCTGACCCTGAGAGCTGCCAGCAGGACTCGGAGGAGGCCTTGCCCGAGGCCAGACTCATCAAGTTTCGTGTGACGTGCAACCGAGCCGGGGACAAACACAGCTTTTCCTCTAATGAGGCAGCCAGAGACTTTGGTGGGGCTGTGCAAGAATTCTTCCAGTGGAAAGCAGACATGACAAAGTTTGACATAGAGGTAGGCTTGCTTGTTCAAATTGGACTGGCGCATGTGAAATTCCAGCCCCCGGGCCAAAAACAGGGCTTTTGTCAAGGGTAAACATGCAAAACATGTGGTAATATCTGTAGGAAGCTACAAAGAGTCACAGTTAGGTAAGATTTTCCTTTTAGACAAAATGGTATCGTGATGCGACGTGTTGACAGTTTGGTCACTGTGGTGCATTTTTCTGTTAAAGACTTCTGGAGATAATTGTGTTTATTCCTTTTTAACTCGGTGAAAATTTAGACCCGTCGTGTCCACGCCTGGTCCTCGAGAGCTCCTGTCCAGCATGTTTTAGTTGTTTCTCAGCTCCAGCACATCTGATTTACCGTTTGATTCACCTGTTCAGCAGGTCATAAAGTTGTGCAGACGCCTGTTAATCCCCCACTAACTAAAGTTAGTTGTGCTGAAGCAGAGAAGCAACTTAAAAATGCTGGATGATGGTGGCCCTTGAGGACCAGGACTGGACACCACTGATGAGTTTATTGGGCCATTCCCATCTGTACCGGGTCGGCCCGGGCCGGGTAACCCCAGTCGGCCTCAGCCTGGCCCGGTTGATTCCACACATCCTTGCCTTAAGCCCATGTGGGCTGATTCTACCCACCAATCAGAGGCTTGCTCTAATGGAAGGTGTGAATTTGCTGTCAGCAGTGGGTGTGTTGGCCCTTGTCGGCCTGAAGCAGACCCCCTCGAGAAGAGTGCTGAGAATGAGCCTTGGTTGGCCCGGAAAAATACCAGGCCACCCAGATATGTAACAGCCTACGCTACCCAGCCCGGGCCGACCCGGTACAGATGGGAATGGCCCATATGATGAATTAAATCAGAAAGTTGAAGTTTCTGATAAAAGATTCTAAGACATGAGAGCAAGTTAGAAATTTACGTATTTCACTGGCAACGTGAAAGTTGGTAAAAAAAAAAATGTTTCAACAGCGCCCCCTGGAAAATTAAAAATACCCCTCCGCTTTGACCTTTTTTCATAGTAGAGTGATGAAATTTGGTACACTTGTAGAACTCAACAATACGCACAGAAAAGCCTCTTGCACCCATGGTCAATATCAAACAGGAAGTCGGCCATTTTATTATTTGCTCTTTCATTTAAACACACAAGACCGTAAAATGTGCTCATTTGTGGTAATCCCATCAAAGCTCTTTTTTCTGTTGCAGGTTTTACTCAACATACATAACGAGGAGGTGGTGGTTGGGATTGCACTCACTGAGGAGAGTCTTCACAGGAGGAACATCAGCCACTTTGGACCCACCACCCTGCGTTCAACACTGTGCTACGGCATGCTCAGGTAACTCTTCTGGAACATTCTTCCACCTGTGAAGTATTTGACCCCAAGCGGTTGAGACCTCGTGGCTCGGCCCCTGTCCCTGGTTCGGTTAAGGAGGCGTGTTGTGTTGGCATGAAGATTGACAAGTAGATATATTGGTGACAGCTGAGGGGGGAAATACTGGCTTAAAGAGCAAGTCAAACCCTACCAGTTTCTAACTCCACTCTCACTTCATGTTTGAAAAATGCAACGAATGCTGTTGTCTGGCAGACCGAGAGGGCGGAGCTGCTTACAAATACACACACACACAGGCTCACAACAGCATTGTGACATCATAATGTACCAGATGACATCATAGCATACCTCTTAGGCAATAGCGGTGGCAGATTTAAATTCAAATACAGTGCGGAGTTTTTACAGGATATCCGCGGGTCCTTAAAAAGTCTTAAATTTGCTTTTCCAAATTTAAGGCCTTAAAAATCCTTTAAAATGACAAATAATCCTTAAATACTGTTTCCAAAGGTCTTAAATTACCAAAGACCCAATAAACAAGATTCTTTTAATTCTGTAAAATTTTCGTGAATTTCTAGTTAGTGTTCAGCATTTTTTTGTGTATGATGTAAGCGGAACCGTACACATTCAGTTGGTTGTGAAAGGGGGCTATTTTTAGATGAGCACATTAGCTGGTTAAGCTAGTGGGAGCTTGCGCCACGGGGAAGTGCAAGTTTAATGGTAACTGGATGGCTAATCCCACGTTCGCGCCGTGGTTAGCACCGGTTCCAGGCAATAGCTGGAAATTATAGCTTAAATTAAATTTTAAAAATAGCTTAAATTTGGTCAAAGTGGCCTTAAAAAAGGTCTTAAAAAGTCTTAAATTTGGCTCCCTTAAACCTGCAGATACCCTGTTTTACCTGACAACGGCACAACACTGCCAGTTTTAGGCAGAATATTAAAATTTTAACTAAGATGCACTGAAGTGCCAAATTATTGACGACACGTGTCTGCAGCAAGATTAGACACTCGTTTATTTAGTTTATCAGCAAAAAAAAGTTTATTTGGGGGTAACTTGCTCTTTAAAGTGAATACAGACACAACCAGTTAGAGAGGACAGGTAAATCCTTTTGCACACCTTCGATTCGTAACATTACAGGAAAGTAAGTGTTGGTTTAGCTCCTGTGTTCCTTGCAGTTCATGTGAAAAGCAATTTATTTTTCAGTTTTTAAGAAACATGACAACAATGTGGTAACGAAACAGCAGATTTAGATTTTAGTTGGATCTATCTTAACCACTTTCAGAATTTTCTTGATTGATAACAAGCCAGATTTGCTGGTGAAGGTTTTTGGTCATCCAGGTCATGGTAATCCAAAAGGGTTCAAGTGAAGGCAACTGGACTTGTTTGGTTTCTGAAAGACGTTTCGCTTCTCATCCGAGGAGCTTTGTCCATTCTGACTGGAATATGGGAATATTGACAAAACTCCTCGAATGAGAAGCAAAATGTCTTCAAGAAACCAGACAAGTCCAGTTGTCTTCATCTGAACCCTGTGTAACAAACCAGATTAGTGGAATAAAGCATAATTACTACTCGGGGTAGACCGATATATCAGGCCGATTTATGCCATTTACTGGCATTGGCCGATATTCCTCAGACGATTTAAAGTCAGACTAGGGCCGTGCGATAAGGATTATAAAGTGATGAGAATCTACCAAAACTCAGAGATCGTAGAACCGTCTATTTGCATTCTATCACCTGTGCCATTATTTCTACCGGCACGTTCTTTTCTGGTAGTCTGCTTCTTTCGGCATGACAGACACGCCAAAAGCAAGTTTAAAGCGGTATGTTGGTTAATTTAGCTGGGGTGCCTGGTGGAGCTGAGGAAAAAAATTAACAAGCGATGCATTAGGATGCGAACATAAACGATAATGAATCTTTGAAGAAGCATGCCGTACTCGATTATAGTGACTAGGCGCTAGCATTAGCTAGCCCCGACTCTAAGCGGTCGTTACATGTATTCTCACGCATCTGCTCGATCAGGGAACCTCAATGTTTTGCTCTAAACGCTGCATTTAGCTTTGCGACTTTTATTATTTGGAGACGTTTGTGTGTGGTTTAATGAGCCTTTTCACCGTAGCTGCTGACCATATGTACGTGTATATATATACATATACTGTATATATATATATATATATATATATATATATATATATATATATATGCATGCAGTATATGTATATATATATATATATAGATAGATAGATAGATAGATAGATAGATATTTTTATTCGGTCAACAACAACAATTTATCAATTTTACATAAAAGTAATCAAGCAACCAAAAAAAGGAATAGGTTGAAGCCTAGTAGCTTATAATTAGCCTATCCTTAACTCCCACAGAGATAATCAAATCCTTAACCAAGGCTGATAGCTAAGATGCATAACATTTAAAGAAAAACAATGATAAATCAAGAAATCAAATCAACACAAGGTTGGACATCAAACTAAGTTTCTATATATATATATATATATATATATATATATATATATATATATATATATATATATATATATATATATATATATATATATACAGGTGCTGGCCAGTAAATTAGAATATCATCAAAAGGTTGAAAATATTTCAGTAATTCCATTCAAAACGTGAAACTTGTACATTATATTCATGCAATGCACACAGACCAATGTATTTCCAATGTTCATTACATTTAAATTTGATATTCATAAGTGACAACTAATGAAAACTCCAAATTTGGTATCTCAAAAAATTAGAATATTCTGAAAAGGCTGAATATAGAAGACACCTGCTGCCACTCTAATCAGCTGATTTACTCAAAACACCTGCAAAGGCCTTTAAAAGGTCCCTCAGTCTTGTTTTGAAGGCCCCACAATCATGGGGAAGACTTCTGACTTAACAGCTGTCCAAAAGACAATCATTGACACCTTGCACAAGGAGGGCAAGACACAAAAGGTGATTGCTAAAGAAGCTGGCTGTTCGCAGAGCTCTGTGTCCAAGCACATTAACAGACAGGCGAAGGGACGGAAAAAATGTGGTAGAAAAAAGTGTACAAGCTCTAGGGATAACCGCACCCTGCAGAGAATTGTGACGACAAACCCATTCAAAAATGTGGGGGAGATCCACAAAGAGTGGACTGCAGCTGGAGTCAGCGCTTCAAGAACCACCACGAGGAGACTCATGAAAGACATGGGATTCAGGTGTCGCATTCCGTGTGTCAAGCCACTCTTGAACAAGAAACAGCGCAAGAAGCGTCTCGCCTGGGCCAAGGACAAAAAGGACTGGACTGATGCTGAGTGGTCCAAAGTTATGTTTACTGATGAAAGCAAGTTCTGCATTTCCTTTGGAAATCAAGGACCCAGAGTCTGGAGGAAGAGCGGAGAAGCACAGAATCCACGTTGCATGAGGTCCAGTGTAAAGTTTCCACCGTCAGTGATGGTGTGGGGTGCCATGTCATCTGCCGGTGTTGGCCCACTCTGTTTCCTGAGGTCCAGGGTCAATGCAGCCGTCTACCAGGAAGTTTTAGAGCACTTCATGCTTCCTGCTGCTGACCAACTTTATGGGGATGCAGACTTCACCTTTCAACAGGACTTGGCACCTGCACACAGTGCCAAAACCACCAGCACCTGGTTCAAGGACCATGGTATCCCTGTCCTTGATTGGCCAGCAAACTCGCCTGACCTTAACCCCATAGAAAATCTATGGGGTATTGTGAAGCGGAGGATGCAATACGCTAGACCCAACAATGCAGAGGAGCTGAAGACGACTATCAGAGCAACCTGGGCTCTCATAACACCTGAGCAGTGCCACAGACTGATCGAGTCCATGCCACGCCGCATTACTGCAGTTATTGAGGCAAAAGGAGCCCCGACTAAGTATTGAGTGCTATACATGCACATTCTTTTCATGTTCATTCTTTTCAGTTGGCCAACATTAGAGAAACAAACATTTTTTCATTGGCCTTTAGAATATTCTAATTTTCTGAGATACCAGATTTGATGTTTTCATTGGTTGTCACCTATAAATATCAAATTTAAATGTAATGAACATTGGAAATACATTGGTCTGTGTGCATTGCATGAATATAATGTACAAGTTTCACGTTTTGAATGGAATTACTGAAATATTTTCAACCTTTTGATGATATTCTAATTTACTGGCCAGCACCTGTATATATATATATATATGTGTGTGTGTGTGTGTGTGTGTGTGTATGTATGTGTGTATATATATATATATATATATGTGTGTGTGTGTGTATGTATATATATATACATACACATATATTTATATGTATGTATGTATATATATATATATATATATATATATATATATATACACAGTGGGGCAAAAAAGTATTTAGTCAGCCACCGATTGTGCAAGTTCTCCCACTTAAAATGATGACAGAGGTCAGTAATTTTCATCATAGGTACACTTCAACTGTGAGAGACAGAATGTGAAAAAAAAATCCATGAATTCACATGGCAGGATTTTTAAAGAATTTATTTGTAAATCAGGGTGGAAAATTAGTATTTGGTCAATAACAAAAATTCAACTCAATACTTTGTAACATAACCTTTGATGGCAATAACAGAGGTCAAACGATTACTATAGGTCTTTACCAGGTTTACACACACAGTATTTTGGCCCATTCCTCCATGCAGATCTTCTTGAGAGCAGTGATGTTTTGGGGCTGTCGCCGAGCAACACGGACTTTCAACTCCCTTCACAGATTTTCTATGGGGTTGAGGTCTGGAGATTGGCTAGGCCACTCCAGGACTTTCAAATGCTTCTTACGGAGCCACTCCTTTGTTGCCCGGGCGGTGTGTTTGGGATCATTGTCGTGTTGGAAGACCCAGCCACGTTTCATCTTCAAAGCTCTCACTGATGGAAGGAGGTTTTGGCTCAAAATCTCACGATACATGGCCCCATTCATTCTGTCCTTAACACGGATCAGTCGTCCTGTCCCCTTAGCAGAAAAACAGCCCCAAAGCATGATGTTCCCACCCCCATGCTTCACAGTAGTATGGTGTTCTTGGGATGCAACTCGGTATTCTTCTTCCTCCAAACACGACGAGTTGAGTTTATACCAAAAAGTTCTACTTTGGTTTCATCTGACCACATGACATTCTCCCAATCCTCTGCTGTATCATCCATGTGCTCTCTGGCAAACTTCAGACGGGCCTGGACATGCACTGGCTTCAGCAGCGGAACACGTCTGGCACTGCAGGATTTGATTCCCTGCCGTTGTAGTGTGTTACTGATGGTGACCTTTGTTACTGTGGTCCCAGCTCTCTGCAGGTCATTCACCAGGTCCCCCCGTGTGGTTCTGGTATTCTTGCTCACCGTTCTCATGATCATTTTGACCCCACGGGATGAGATCTTGCGTGGAGCCCCAGATCGAGGGAGATTATCAGTGGTCTTCTATGTCTTCCATTTTCTTATAATTGCTCCCACAGTTGATTTTTTCACACCAAGCTGCTTGCCGATTGTAGATTCACTCTTCCCAGTCTGGTGCAGGTCTACAATTCTTTTCCTGGTGTCCTTCGAAAGCTCTTTGGTCTTGGCCATAGTGGAGTTTGGAGTCTGACTGTTTGAGGCTGTGGACAGGTGTCTTTTATACAGATAATGAGTTCAAACAGGTGCCATTAATACAGGTAACCAGTGGAGGACAGAAAAGCTTCTTAAAGAAGACGTTACAGGTCTGTGAGAGCCAGAGATTTTCCTTGTTTGAAGTGACCAAATACTTATTTTCCACCCTGATTCACAAATAAATTCTTTAAAAATCCTGCCATGTGAATTCATGGATTTTTTTTTCACATTCTGTCTCTCACAGTTGAAGTGTACCTATGATGAAAATTACTGACCTCTGTCATCATTTTAAGTGGGAGAACTTGCACAATTGGTGGCTGACTAAATACATTTTTGCCCCACTGTGTATATATATATATATATATATATATATATATATATATACACACACACATATACAATGCCGTGAATGAAACGGTAGTTTGCAGATTTTAAATATTGTTTTACTCTCCCGGGGGGGCGGAGCTGTCAACTGATCACCACCTGGTGGTGAGTTGGATCAGATGGCAAGGGAACATGCCGCGTAGACCTGGCAGACCCAAACGCATAGTGAGGGTCTGCTGGGAACGCCTGGCAGAAGAACCTGTCAAGACGGTCTTCAACTCCCACCTCCGGCAGAGCTTTGACCACGTCCCGAGAGCAGTGGGGGACATTGAGTCCGAGTGGGCCTTGTTCCACTCTGCGATTATCGAGGCGGCTGTTGCTAGCTGTGGTCGTAAGGTGGCCGGTGCCAGTCGTGGTGGCAACCCCCGTACCCGCTGGTGGACACCAGAGGTTCGGGGAGCCGGCAGGCTGAAGAAGGAGGCCTACAGGGCGTGGCTGGTCTGTGGGTCTCCGGAGGCAGCAGACAGGTACCGGATAGCCAAGCGGGGTGCAGCAGTGGCAGTTGCCGAGGCAAAATCTCGGGCGTGGGAGGAGTTTGGTGAGGCCATGGAGAAAGACTATCGATCGGCTCCAAAGAGGTTCTGGCAAACTGTCCGGCGCCTCAGGAGAGGAAGGCAGCAACTCGCTCACACTTTTTACAGTGGGGATGGGGAGCTGCTGACGTCAACTGAGGCTATAGTCGGACGGTGGAAGGAATACTTTGAGGAGCTCCTCAATCCCACCAATGCGCATTCCGAGGAGGAACCAGAGCCGGGAGGCCTGGGGATGGACTGTCCGATCTCGGGGGCAGAAGTTGCTGAGGTAGTCAAACAACTACACAGCGGCGGAGCCCCGGGGGCGGATGAGGTTCGTCCTGGGTATCTCAAGGCTATGGATGTTGTAGGGCTGTCATGGTTGACATGTCTCTACAACATTGCGTGGTCATCGGGGGCAGTTCCTAGGGAGTGGCAGACCGGGGTGGTGGTCCCCATCTTTAAGAAGGGTGACCTGAGGGTGTGTTCCAACTATAGGGGGATCACACTCCTCAGCCTCCCTGGAAAGGTCTACGCCAAGGTACTGGAGAGGAGGGTCCGATCGATAGTTGAATCTCAGATAGAGGAGGAGCAATGTGGTTTTCGTCCTGGCCGTGGAACTGTGGACCAGCTCTATACCCTTGCAAGGGTGATGGAGGGGGCATGGGAGTTTGCCCAACCAATCCACATGTGCTTTGTGGATTTGGAAAAGGCTTATGACCGTGTCCCCAGGGGCACCCTGTGGGGGACGCTCCAGGAGTATGGGGTGGGTGGCTTTCTGTTAAGGGCCATTCAGTCCCTTTACCAGAGGAGCGTGAGTTTGGTCCGCATAGCCGGTAGTAAGTCGGACCTGTTCCCAGTGAGGGTTGGACTCCGCCAGGGCTGCCCTTTGTCACCGGTTCTGTTCATCACTTTTATGGACAGAATTTCTAGACGCAGCCGTGGTGTGGAGTGTGTCGAGTTTGGTGGCAGGAGAATCTCGTCTCTGCTTTTTGCGGATGATGTGATCCTCCTAGCTTCATCCAGCTCTGACCTTCAGCTCTTGCTGGGTAGGTTCGCGGCCGAATGTGAAGCGGCTGGGATGAGGATCAGCACCTCCAAATCTGAGACCATGGTTCTCGACCGGAAAAGGGTGGCTTGCCACCTCCGGGTCGGGGGAGAGGTCCTACCTCAAGTGGAGGAGTTTAAGTATCTCGGGGTCTTGTTCACGAGTGAGGGTAGGAGGGATCGGGAGATCGACAGGCGGATTGGTTCGGCATCTGCAGTGATGCGGACGCTGAGCCGCTCTGTCGTGGGGAAGAGGGAGCTGAGCCAGAAAGCCAGGCTCTCGATTTACCGGTCGATCTACGTCCCAATCCTCACCTATGGTCATGAGCTTTGGGTAATGACCGAAAGAACGAGATCGCGGATACAAGCGGCCGAAATTAGTTTCCTCCGTAGGGTGGCCGGGCTCAGCCTTAGAGATAGGGTGAGGAGCTCGGACATTCGGGAGGGACTCGGAGTAGAACCGCTGCTCCTCCGGATCGAAAGGAGCCAGTTGAGGTGGTTTGGGCATCTGGTCAGGATGCCTCCTGGACGCCTCCCCGGGGAGGTGTTTCGGGCATGTCCTGCCGGCTGGAGGCCCCCGGGTCGACCCAGGACACGTTGGAGAGGTTACATCTCCAATCTGGTCCGGGAACGCCTTGGGGTCCTGCCGGAGGAGCTGGTGGACAAGGCCGGGGAGAGGACGGCCTGGAGCTCCCTAATTGGGATGCTGCCCCCGCGACCCGGACCCGGATAAGCGGAGGAAGACGAAGACGAAGACGAAGTTTTACTCTCATTCTCACTGATTATTTTGTATTTAGTTCTCAAGAAAATCGGCACTGGTGTGTTATAAAAACTGCTGAAAGGTAAAATTAATGTGAACACTGGTTAGAAAATGGAAGTGTGACGACAGGAGAAAGTCCTTAATCCGAGTTAATGAAGAAGACTTCTAAAGGTGACTTTTAATGTAAACACAAGAAATGATTGATGCCATTTGTAATTATTTATAACTAAATAGGATGAAACGCTCATTAAACACGTTATATTTGTGGGGTTTTTTCTGTTCTGCTGATAGGTTGTGTAAACCTCAGGTATCTGATGTAATACTTGACCCCATGTGTGGAACTGGAGCCATACCACTGGAGGTGAGACACAAAATGTGCTTTTCTTTGTTTTTGCATGTTATCGATGCACACCTCTGCTCATTGTTGGAGACACACAAAGTTGTGGTGACACACAAACACAACACATTTGCTTTATTGTGGGTTTCTAAATGGTTGAGTAGAGAAACTATGAAGGTGTTGGCATCAGAAACTAGGAAATGAACCGGATCTGGTACATAGACTCATACCTGCCAAGGTTCCTAATTGTTTCCTTTGAATTTCTTAATGAGCACGAGCTCAGAATTCAGGCACGAACATGTAATCTGTGACAAGAGAACTGCTGTATTTTGCTATTATTCCCAGAAGATGTATGAACTAAGATTCTGTAAGCCCCACAGGGCGTCATTTAGTTTTTTATTTTTATTTAGACTTCTCACACATTCAGGACTAAACTTTAGTGCCTCCAGTTCAGCAGTTGTCCAACATTTCAGCTTCTGATCCACAAAATAAAAGCTACAGGGACTAACTGTTTCTGGTTAGTTTACTTTGTGTACGGAAAGTATTCAGACCCCCATCAATTTTTCACTCTTTGTTATATTGCAGCCATTTGCTAAAATTAAATACATTTTTCCTGATTAATGCATACACAGCACCCCATATTGACAGAAAAACACAGAATTTCTGAAATGTATGCAGATTTATTAATAAAGTAAAACTGACTAAGTATTCAGACTCTTTGCTCAGTGTTCCTCCCGTCAGTCACCACGAGTACAAGTTCTTAGGTTTTTAACTGATGGTTTATTCCAAGCTTTCACCAAAAGGAACTCAGTGTTGCCATCGTGAGAACTTAAAAGAAACAAAACATGCAAAATTATAAATAAGATACAAAAACAGCATCAAAACTGAAAATATTTGTCACTTTGACTCAATCCACATGTTCGGTTATCACAAATGCCATAAACACGCTTTACACCAGCATCAAATGTACTTTAAACCATATTATCTATAAATACTCAAATTTACAGAGCCGACCGTGAACGCACCTCGTCACCTGCTGTAACAAACGGGAGAAAATTATGTTTATCTTCGCACCGACACTGGCATCACATTTTCAGTAGCTTGAAATCAGAACACATGGAATTCACTTCAATAACCTTGAGTCCATCTTGTTTGAACGGCGCCAACATGCAACACAACTGCGGTAAGCACATGTACTTTTGTGTGTCGCTCTAAAAAAGGTTCGTCTGAACATTAGTTCCGCTTCACTTAGAGTTCCGACTCACAGCATCAATTCAAAGAAAACAACATAAGAATCAATAAAAATATATATACAAGTGTAAACGTGAAATAAATTCACTGTCAGTTGCACTCAGTAGTAGCTCCCTTTTGAGCTAATACAGTCATGAATCTTCTTGGTAAAGATGCAACAAGTTAGAGCTGGATTTGGGGATCCTCTCTAGGTCTGTCAGGTTGGATGGTGAACATTGGTGGACAGCCATTTTTAAGTCTCTCCAGAGATGCTCAATTGTGTTTAAAGGAGCATTATGGAAGTTTGACAGCCAAAACATGTATAGAAATAATAAATTTCTTCTTCATACGTTCTCCTGCAATGCCCTGGTCCTGTAGAATGAGCCCTGGCATTTTCACTGTGATTGCCTGTTTTTCTGTAAAATCACAGAAAAAGAGAGTTGCTCGGGTCGAGCAGGCTGCTTCATGCGCGTTCACGCTCAGGCATCGCCCGTAGCATTTGCTATCAGTAGCTTTAGCAGCAAAGAGTGAGGTAGTGCCAACTCAGCGACTTTGTCGCTGTTCCTAATGCCTAGTGATGAACCTAGCTACATTTCTGAGGATCCTTAGCTACTTTCTTCTAGATATTTCCTGCAAATTAGCAACAAAATAGCCATTTTCGCTCTGCTGTCATCAAGGATATAAATGTTACAGATACAGAAGATGTCACTGGCGCTTTAGCTCACCTAGTAAGACGCCGGACTCTCGTGCAGAAGACCTGGGTTCGATTCTGGATTGGAACATAGTTTATTTAGAGGTTATTTTTTTACATTAATGGTGTATTTGTTTACAGTAAGATGCCCAAATTTGTATTTGAGACTCACCGAACTGCATTGAATTCACAGATAAAAAAGATGTGGGTTCAACTTTCATTTTGGAACAATTTTTCAAGCAAGGGAAGGGAATGATCTGAGCATGCAGGACTGACCCATCTTAAACCTTTGTCGGCTGTGCTGAAGAGAAAGGTACAGAACCAAATTATTTAATTAATTAGCTGCACGTTCTCCTGACCTCTGTCCTCCGGGCCACACACACACGGGACTGTCTCAGCTGTTATTTTTGTTAAGGGGTGTGCACGTACAGCATGCGCGCCTCGTGCACGAGCCTATTATTGAAGCTGCCGTTACGCTTTTGGCCTGAGGGGGCAATCGCGAGCATAAAAATTCAAAACTCTGTAAAGTCCCTTTAAGTCAGGGCTCTGGCTGGGCCATTCAAGAACAGTCACAGAATTGCTGTGATGCCACTCCTTCGTTGTTTTAGCTGTGTGCTTAGGGTCATTGTCATGTTGGAAAGTAAACCTTCAAAAATGGATTTGGGTTTGTTTCACATGGGAGTAACAATATCACATGGTAAAAAGCTCCAAAAAGTGGATTTTTCATGATATGGCCCCTTTAAAGTAAAAAATTCCACCAACAAGCACTTTAAATGTTTAATTTCTGTAGCTCTTCTTAAGAACCCCTACGGAGTGTTTCATCACCCACAGTGGCGCCTGAGCCCAACTTGGTAAACAAGTTCTCCAGGACTTCCAAGCCACTCAAAAACAACCTATTAGACTAACGAGAGTTAATGAACTCCGACCACAGAGTTCAATCAGTAACTAAAGTATGAGTCCCTTACTGCTGAACACATAACCTTGAGCTTTTTGTGGGGTTCAGATGTGTTTTTCTGTCGTGACTTTGCAGGATGGTTCAATGATGGTGTTGTAATAAAACACGGATATGTAATACTGTGATGTTCTTTTGCAGGGTGCTATTGAGTTCAACAGCTCATTCTATGTTGCTGGTGATAACAACGACATGGCCGTTAACCGAACCGTCAATAATGTTTCTCACATTCAAAAAAGGAGAGCAGACAAGGGAAGGTGAGTGAACAGCTGGGCGTTTTACCGACGAACATCTGTATTGTATAGCGGACGCGTAGCCCTCGTGCTGCATCACTGACATGTCCTTTAATTACATGACTTGTTTTTATATGCTGTATTCACACTGTAAGTTGATCATTAACAGATTTTTTACATTTTTAAATGTCAAACTTACCATTAAGGATAACAGCTGCATAAACAGAACTTGATACAGCCAATAACTTTCATCTTTGATTACGGAGGAAAAAAGGTTTTATTGTTCAGGTTGGTGTTCGTCATCATCACTCACTGGCAGCAGCATTAATCCTCGAAACAAAAGAACTGCAGTGTAGCTTCAGTCTTTTGGGAAATGAGATCTGTTTTTCCTGATCCACATTCTTTGAGCCAGAAAAGGTTTTTTTTCTCATATTTCTTTTTCAAAACGCCCAAAGGTGTTCTATCAAGCACAGTTTTGTTTTTCTTTAATAACTTCCTGGTGATTTTGTGCGATTGTCATCACACTGGAATATTCCACCATTGACATTGAAAGAGCCTTCCTCTTTTTAATTGTGCATTTTTAACTATGAAATAAAATAAAATAAGTAAAAACTACACTACTTAGAGGAGAGAATGGGAGTCGGGCTCTGTCAGAAGTCACAGGCTTGTAGAATTGATGTGCGCAGAAGGAAGTGCACAAAGAGTAGTTGGGGTAGGGAAGTACAGGGTAGGTGCTAGGGTAGAAGATGAAGAGCTGGATATACGAGAGTTTCTTGAAGATGGACGGATAAATGTCCCAGTTCTGGTAGTGCTCACAAAGTCATTGCATTATCATGGAACGATACAGAATGAGTCCGAATACTTGAGTGTGGTGTGGACACTGCTAGCTGACAGTCCTTTGATGATCAGAGCGACTGAGATGTGGAGTAAGCTTTCGCTAGAGAATTCAAGTACAGTCCCAAAAGGTTTACACCCCCTGTGTATTTTTTATTTGGGGGGGGTTAAAGAATATAAATGAAAACCGTTTTTTCACTCATGGTCACTGAAGCCATTTATTATTGGGACAAACGTGTGAACACATGAATCACAATCTTTCTGGCAGGCCACATGTTTATATCAGAGAACATTGCTGATGTTAACAACTGAGGTTCTAGAAAAGTACAGGACAGGAAACATCTGCTGCCTTCAGATAACATTGACATCTGAATCTACGAAATGACAGGACGTTAGTCCTTGTGAAACATGTTCACGAATAAGTTCCCCACAACTAGAGATGGGTACCTTTGACATTTGAATCGATCCGGTACTAATTCCCGGTACCTACAAATCGATACCGGTACTTAACGGTACCAATTTTCGATACTTTTGAGTGTTTAATATTTTAATTCTCTTTTATAATTAAATATTTATTTTTCTCAATATATAACAATAATTGATAAATATCACAATAAATAACATTCAACTGTTTGTATTTTAACATCATCCTTGTAGTTTTATAAGCTGATAATTATTATTTTTATTATTTTTTTTTTTTTTTACCGTGTCCTGTCTGGCTGTGAAGCAAGCAGAATTGATGTCTGAATGCTGGTGACAAGCCTTACAGATTTATTCTCAGGTGGAGCATCAAAGCGTTTGCTTTTAATGTCACGCCTGATACTTAAAACTTTATTGTTATTGTTGTTGAATGCTTTGTAATTCCGACCAGACACGGAGACAGAGGTGAAAGAGAAAGGAAGAGAAAAGGTGGAGAGAGAGGGGGGGGGTTCCACAAAAATAAACAATGAACAAGAGTCTGCTTCTAGACCTGCAGAAAAAGACAAAAAAAAAAAAAAAAAAAGGACACAAAAAAGGGACACAACAACAATACAACAAGATCTACCTATCACTGCGTCAACTTGATGAAAAAAAACCAACAAAAAAAAACAATATATATATATATATATATATATATATATATATATAATCAACATTGCTTAACTGAAGAATCACGATAATAAATCACAATGCATTAAGTGCCCCCCATAGTTTTAAGACGTGTTGAACGTGCCCAAGCCCATACTTTTGAGAGCACCATGTGAGCACCTGTGTGTGTACACGCGCTTGTTTATTTAAGGTTTCTCTATAGGAGCGTCCAACAGAGAGTGTGAGGGACCACAGATCCGCCCCCCAAAGATGCGCAGGAGACGGGGGGGAGCTCCAAGTCCCAGAGATCCAGGCGTTGCCCCAGAATGCAGGAACCCCAAGGAGACTGCAACCAGAAAGGCCCCCGTCCCCCTCGAGAGGCACAGAGGATCGCCCCGGGGGGCCACAACCAGCAGCCGGCAGAGTCCCTGGAGATATCAGCGGCAAGCCCACAGGCCCGCCCGCAGCCTCCCACCCCCTAGCCGGCCGAGCCCAGGACCCAGCGACCCGGGACCCAGGGGTGACCACCCCCGCCGGGGACCCAGCAGAGCCCAGGGACCCAGACCCCACCAGGCAGCCACCGGGATCTATCAGGCAGATGCCAAAATCTTAAACCCCCAGACCCGGTTGCCACGAACACTCAGGCAGACCATGGCACAAGCCCCCACACCAGGTGTGGCAGGGGGGACAAAGAGCTATATCATCAAGAGAAGTTCCAGGAGAGGGGTGGACCCAAAGGCCCCACCTGACATATACAGTCATACACAAACACAGTCACACACTCCCTCCCTCATGCTCACACATGCACATACAACCCAAGACTTACAAAAATGCACGCCGGACACTCACTCATGCTCCCCATACACACCCTATTCACTCTGGTCCCGGTACTGCTGCACATGGGGTACAACCATCACCGGTAACCAGAGTTTGACCCTTTCTGCTGGGGTGCTGATGAGCAGGCTCCCCCGCCCAACGCTGAGCACAGCAACCCACCACCCCAGACCCCAACCAGACGGCCAGATCTCCCTCCTAGCCTCCAGCCCCAGGAAGCCTAGCAACAACAGAGGTGGCTAAGACCCCTAGTCTCCCTCCACCTGCTCCAATATAGTGTTGTGTGATCATGAGGTGTATTCCATGGCTGTGGTGAGTGGGCAGTGCGGGCATCATCCGGCATATGCCAGCTGATGCCACCGCACCACCCCACTTACACCCTCAGCCATCAGTGTCTAAGTGCGGTTTAAAATTGGAAGTGGGCACCGGCACTCGGGAGGAGGCTGAAATATCCCCCTGCCAAATGCCGTTGAATGTGCTCACTCCCAAGGCCCTAAGTGTGTGTTTGTGTGGAATGTCGTCAGTGGAAGTGTATAAGGTGCAAATTAAATTGGGGGGCAGGTTGCCACAGGAATGCGGAAATGGGGTCCATACCCGCACTCCCTGACTTGCCCACCCCCCAAGGTCCTATGTGTATGTTTGTGTGATGATGTGAGGGAGCAGGAGGAGAGAAATATGCGGGGATGGGGAGGAATGGCTGGTTGGGCTTAGCCCTCCAGGGAGCCAGCTCCTCTACTGGCCCCAATAGGCACCTCTGTTGTCAAACCGCCACCCAGGGCATGGAGACCCCAGCCCATCCTGCCAGGGTCCAAAGCAGCAGCATTACAGAGCCTCACGGAGTCCGAGGGCACCAACCCAGCCCCATCCCAGCAGAATATCTATGCCCACCCCTGCATTTGCACAACTTCCAGAATATATAAGACATGGGACATCCAGGTAAGGTTTGGTCCTCCCCGTCCTGGACCTCCCCCTCCCCTGTGATGGAACGGCAGAGGAGCCAAGGTCTACCTGATGCCCCCGAACCCGGGCCAGGCACTGCTGAGTGTTCCTGCCTTCTTCCCGGCAGCATACATGTCAGGACCCGACCCCCAAGGCCCCGCCCAGATCCCCACACGGGGCCGGCCACCCCCAAACCCCGAGCCCCCAGGCCCCCACCCAGACCCGCCCAGGGGTATTGCAGCCGCCAGGCAGTGACCCATGGCCGCCGCCAAGATCCCCAAGGGGCCCCACTCACAACCGCCAGTAGTCCACCCCCCGAGGCAACCCAAGCACCTCCAGAGGGGGGCGACAGCCCCCCCAGTCCCAGACACCCCCAGTGAACCCACCTCCAGGGAACATCCGGATTACTCCAAACTCAGACCCCACACCCCCCCACCCACACCATCCCGCAGGACAACATCAATGGCCCCCCACCCTCGCTATGTGATGGAACCGATCAAAAGAGCCCAGAGAGATTCATCTGAAGTGGAAGCAGAGGCTATATCAAGTGCAATATGATCTAACAAAAGATTTCTATACTGGTTGATGCAGAGAGTTTCTCTATTTTTCCAATTCACGAGGATAGTTTTCTTAGCGATGCACATGGCAGTCAGAACCACGTGAACCAAAGATGTTTCAATCGGGACATCGTGCAGCTGTCCCAGTAAACAAAGAGAGGGGGTGGTTGGGATATGACATTTCAGACATTTTGACAGATCCTCACATACTCTACCCCAAAATTCCTGGACAGGTGGGCTGGACCACAGTGCATGAATGTAATTGTCAGGAATGTTGTTTGTGCAGTGTGTACAGGTGTCAGACGACACAAACCCCATCTTGAACATCCGATGACCTGTATAGTGTACTCTGTGTAGAATTTTGTACTGAATTAATTGTAAATTGGGGTGTCTGATCATTTTAAAAGTTTTTAAACAAGTTTGGGACCAGAAGCCCTGGTCAAAGCTAACTGATAGATCCACCTCCCATTTTTCAATAGGGATTGCAATTTTATCGTCTATTTTGGACAGTGTCTTATATACTTAAGACAGTAGTTTGGGGGGGTTTGAGATTATATAAGTCTAATACCTTTGGTGGTGTTTGTAATTCTATTTTATTGAGCTTACATTTTTGTTTGACTACAGATTTAATTTGGTGATATTCTAAAAAGCTATTCTTATCCATTCCAAATTGGAAGACTATTTGATTAAATGGAATGAAGTCCAATCCTTCATATATGTGTTCCAGGTATAGGATTCCTTTATTTTTCCAGTCCGGAAGGTGCATCATTTTGTTGTTTTGCAAAATGTCAGGATTGTTCCAGATAGGTGTGCGTCTGCATGGTACTAGTGAAGACTCTGTCATTTTAAGATACTCCCACCATGCTGTCAGAGAGGTGCTGATACTAATACTTTTGAAGCTTTCATGTTTTCTTATGCTTGAGCTAATAAATGGTAAGTCTGAAAGCTCTATCGTATTGCAAAGTGTCTGTTCTATATCTAACCAGGACTCATCTAATGGGTTATCTTGCATCCATCTTGGTATATATTGCAGCCTGTTGGCTAAGAAATAATAATAAAAGTTGGGTAGATCCAGTCCTCCTCTGTCTTTGGTCTTCTGAAGCGTTTTTAAGCTAATTCGTGGAGGTTTATCCTGCCAAAGGAATTTAGTAATTGAGGAGTCTAGAGATTTAAACCAGTCAGCTGGTGGTTTGTTTGGGATCATCGAGAATAAGTAATTTATTCTGGGCAAGACCATCATTTTAATTGTAGCAACTCTCCCCATGAGTGATATTGGTAAGGATTTCCATCTTGCAAGATCATCTTCCACTTTCCTTAAAAGTGGGATGTAGTTTAGTTTGGTTAGATCTGCTAACTTGGGAGAGATATTAATTCCCAGGTATGTGATATTCCCTGAGTCCAGTTGTGTATTAAGCAAATTGACAAATGAGAAATTAATTGGTAGAACTGTGGATTTTAACCAGTTTATAGAGTAATCTGAAACTTTTGAAAAAGAGTTTATCAGTTCTATTGCTTGGGAGAGAGAGGATTGAGAATTCTGGAGAAAGAGTAAAACATCGTCTGCATAAAGACTGATCTTATGTTCTATTTTCTTACACTTTATCCCTTTAATGTCTGTTGTTTGCCTAATTGCTGCTGCTAGTGGTTCGATAAAGATAGCAAATAGTGAGGGGGAGAGTGGGCATCCCTGCCTGGTCCCCCTCTGAAGACAGAAGCTAGCTGATATTTGGTCGTTCGTCCTGACACGTGCTGTTGGTGAACTGTATAATGTTTGTAGCCAGTTTATGAAGAAGTTCCCAAAGCCAAACTTATGTAAAGTTGCAAATAAGAACTTCCAGTTAACTATCAAAAGCTTTTTCTGCATCTAGAGATAATATACTAGTTTCTATGTTCTATGTCTATAAGCTGATAATTAAACTGAAGCAAACATCTTTACTGTGAACTAAATTTACTGTTTATCTTCATTCCTTTTGCCGTCTTTTTTCATTTGATTTTTCCTACTGGGAAGTTAGAATTTCCGAGGAGAAAGCGAATACACCATTAGCTGATAACAACGGTGGCAATGGAAGCTAACATATCAAGCTAACGTTATCTTTAACAGTTTATTTAACTGCTGGAGCAGATTAAAACGATGATGCCTCACACTTAGATCGTTGTCGCTGGTTTCATCTTCACCCAATCACCCGTCGCGTTTAGTAAAGTGAAGCCAAACTTTAGAGCGCGTTCATGTTCTTCTAGTCGGAAATTCAGAGTTCCGAGGAGAAAACGAATGCACCATTAGCGAAACAGAAGCTAACATATCAAGCTAATTATACTTACCTACCGGAGCAGATTAAGATGAGGATGTCTCACTTAGATCGTTGTCGCTGGTTTCATCATCACCCAGTTACCCATCACATTTAGTGAAGTGGACCCAAGCTTCAGCGTGCGTTCTTTCTACCATGCTTCTCTGTTTACAGCTCGCTCGCAGGGACCGACGACATAACGCTCTTGCGCATGCGCAGCTGTCTTGGCAAGTTCTCGTTATGAAGGACGGGTACCGAAACGAGGCACCGTTTGAAACGACGTGAATCGGTGCTCGGTCGGTACTGTGGAATTCGGTCGGTACCTTAAAAAGTACCGAATTCGGTACCCATCCCTACCCACAGTAACAGAGACCTTTAATACTTTAAAACTTCCTTCTAGTGACCTCTGACCTTTCAGGCATCTACAGTAGGAATAGGGTCTGGCAGGCAGTTAGTGGGAAGGCTTTATGTGAGAAGTGTAAATACAGATTGTTGGTACTCTTCGGTCAATAAAAGAAAAACCCAGAGAAATAACTTGAATCTAACTAAAGTAATAACAAATATGATGATTGATATATATATATATATATAATCACCCAAAACACACAGTTAAACACACCCAAGAATTGCTAAGAGGAAAGAATGGACTATTCTATAGTGGCCTTCTATGAGCCCTGACCTGAATCCTCTTGAGCATCTTTGGAAGGAGCTGAAACATTCTGTCTGGAAAAGGTGCCCTTCAAACCTGAACCAACTGGAGCAGTGAGGAATGGGCCAAAATACCTGCTGAGAGGTGCAGAAGTCTCATTCACAGTTACAGGAATCGTTTGATTGCAATGATTGCCTCAAAATGTTGTGCAACAAAATGCTACGTTAGGGGTACAATAATTTAGCCCAGAGTTTTTGTTTTTAAAATTTCCATCGAAGCATGGTTGAAAATCAATTTCTGACTTTCACTCGTTAAATTTTATAGAATTTTTAGTATTATCAAGTTTGTCATCTGATCTACGGCTGCATGTCTTAGACACTCGGGTAAAGAGTGAGGTGAGGCTGTCAACTGACCACTGCCTGGTAGTGAGTTGGCTCCGATGGTGAGCGAGGATACCGGTCAGACCTGGCCAGACCCCAAACAAATGTGATGGTCTGCTGGAAATGTCTTGCAGACTCTCCTGTCAGACGGAGCTTCAATTCCCACCCCGACAGAACTTCCAAAATGTTACGAGGGAGGGCAGGGGTCATTGAGTACAATTGGCCCTGTTACGTGCCTGTACCATGTCCATTTACACTTTATCAGTGATGCATATACTAATATTTACACATCTCCACAAATTCCACAAGAGTTCCCTTTTAAAATGAGACCAAAATTTGTCAAATAAACCTTGTGGTTACAAAAATATATTCAATAAAGTGCGGGCATGTCATTTTCAAGGAGATTTATCTAAATAATGCCTTGGGCCCTAGTTAGCAGTATTTGAACCTCCTTACAAATACTACTGTGTTGCCAACTACTTCAGTTGTTAATGTTGATAATGTGATTTTTACTTTTAAATTTGATTGTGGTGATTAAATATTGTCAGTGATTTCAGTTTATTAGTGTGCTGTTATTATTACTGTTATAATCTCATGAAGCTCTTTTGACTGATAAATAACCTTTATTATTTGGACACGTAGGTGATGAGGGATGCATATACAGTGGTGTGAAAAATTATTTGCCCCCTTCTGGATTTCTTATTCTTTTGCATGTTTGTCACACAAAATGTTTCTGATCATCACATTTAACCATTAGTCAAAGATAACACAAGTAAACACAAAATGCAGTTTTGAAATGATGGTTTTTATTATTTAGGGAGAGAACAAAATCCAAACCTACATTGCCCTGTGTGAAAAAGTAATTGCCCCCTTGTTAAAAAATAACCCAACTGTGGTGTTTCACACCTGAGTTCAATTTCTGTAGCCACCCCCAAGCCTGATTACTGCCACACCTGTTTCAATCAAGAAATCTCTTAAATATGAGCTGCCTGACACGAAGAAGTAGACAAAAAGCACCTCAAAAGCTAGACATCATGCCAAGATCCAAAGAAATTCAAGAACAAATGAGAACAAAGGTAATCAAGATCTATCAGTCTGGTAAAGGTTATAAAGCCATTTCTAAAGCTTTGGGACTCCAGCGAACCACAGTGAGAGCCGTTATCCACAAATGGCAACAACATGGAACAGTGGTGAACCTTCCCAGGAGTGGGCGGCCGACCAAAATTACCCCAAGAGCGCAGAGACAACTCATCCGAGAGGTTTCAAAAGACCCCAGGACAACTTCTAAAGAACTGCAGGCCTCACTCGCCTCAATTAAGGTCAGTGTTCACGACTCCACCGTAAGAAAGAGACTAAGCAAAAATGGCCTGCATGGCAGATTTCCGAGACGCAAACCACTGTTAAGCAAAAAGAACATTAGGGCTCGTCTCAATTTTGCTAAGAAACATCTCAATGATTGCCAAGACTTGTGGGAAAACACCTTGTGGACTGGTGAGACAAAAGTTGAACTTTTTGGAAGCCAAATGTCCCGTTACATCTGGCGTAGAAGTAACACAGCATTTCAGACAAAGAACATCATACCAACAGTAATATATGGTTGTGGTAGTGTGATGGTCTGGGGTTGTTTTGCTGCTTCAGGAACTGGAAGGCTTGCTGTGATAAATGGAACCATGAATTCTACTGTCTACCAAAACATCCTGAAGGAGAATGTCCGGCCATCTGTTTGTCAACTAAAGCTGAAGCGATCTTGGGTGCTGCAGCAGGACAATGACCCAAAACACACCAGAAAATCCACCTCTGAATGGCTGAAGAACAACAAAATGAAGACTTTGGAGTGGCCTAGTCAAAGCCCTGACCTGAAACTTATTGAGATGCTATAGCATGACCTTAAAAAGGAGGTTCATGCTAGAAACCCCTCAAATAAAGCTGAATTACAACAATTCTGCAAAGATGAGTGGGGCTAAATTCCTCCAGAGCGCTGTAAAAGACTCGTAGCAAGTTATCGCAAACACTTGATTGCAGTTATTGCTGCTAAGGAAGGCCCAACCAGTTATTAGGTTCAGGGGGCAATTACTTTTTCACACAGGGCAATGTAGGTTTGGATTTTGTTCTCTCACTAAATAATAAAAACCATCATTTCAAAACTGCATTTTGTGTTTACTTGTGTTATCTTTGACTAATGGTTAAATGTGTTTGATGATCAGAAACATTTTGTGTGACAAACATGCAAAAGAATAAGAAATCAGGAAGGGGGCAAATAGTTTTTCACACCACTGTAGATGTCCTCGTGGTTAAAATGTTGTTATTGTTTCTTCCTGTAATAATAGAAACACTTTCATTTCAAACAGCTCATCTGGGTTGCCCATCGATACGGTGCAGTGGGATGTGTGCAACTTACCCATAAAGACCAGCTCTGTTGACATTATCATCACTGACATGCCCTTTGGGAAGAGGTACAGTGTAGACTTAAAATTAGTCTCACGTTTTTTTTTTACTGAAAACACAAGATGTTGGTTATGATTCTATTTTTTTTTTGGTAAAATTTAACAAAAACTATATTGTTATAAAAGCTAACATTATTAAAACACTGATTTTTTAGACTAAAATTTCAGGAAAATAACAGTAATTCTGTCAATATTTTCTCGGTTTATTCAAAGAATGGGCTCACGGAAGAAGAACTGGGACCTATACCCCTCTTGTCTCAGAGAAATGGCTCGTGTGTGTCGACCAGGCTCAGGAAAGGCCGTCCTCCTGACTCAGGACAAGAAATGCTTCGCAAAGGTATTCAACTAGTTTGTTTAAACTCTGCTTCAGGAGAACAAAAACAGAGGTCTTTCACTGGGAAACCATTTTTTACTTTTTAAAAATGTTTTAATTAACAGTCACTCTGGGTTATTCGTGCAGGCTGAACATGAAAATAGTCTCCTACACCTATCTCCTGCATTAGCTTCTGATAGAATATAGATGGTGAAACTGTAGGACTTGGAAAAACCTGACAGATCTACATTACGCTGTCAGAACATTCACATGGACTCCACCATCTTGACTCACAACAGAGAAGGCTGTTGTTGGTTTAGCGTCCAGGAAACAGCAGGAAACCGTCCCGGCTAGTAGAAGCTTAGCATTATCAACTTAACCACACTTTTCCCTCAGCTGATGTTGGTTCGACTCTCGGTGGGGTCGGCAGCCATCTATTTAGCCAGCTGAAACATTTAATTTGTTTATATTTTAGTTGTAATATTTATTTTCTGCAAAATATGTATGTCTCTAAAAGTTCTTTGAATTTGGTCGTTCCTAAACAGCATTTTAGTTGAAACTCTGCTCACAAATGGACTCACACTGGCTAAATAAACAAATAAATAAAAAACAAACACATTAGTCATTATATTTTAAACGGTATACCAATAAATGGTTAAAAACATAGTACTGGCAAGTGTAGCTAGAAAAGAAGAAAAAAGTTTGCGCCACTACCGGGAGGCGAACCTGCGCAAAACTACATGTAAATCTGACTCCATAACCACCACCACTACGGCTGATAACAAACAAGTGGCGTTACATGTAATTGTCCCATCCAGTGTGTCTTTGTAGATGGGATGTATGGTTTTTCCGGCGGTGTCTCAGTAGAAGTCATTTTAGAAATAATTTGTCAGAAAAATCACAGAATATCCAAATTTGAGAACCAAGTCCAGACCCGCTTCAGGGAAGGAGACCAAATTGAAGCTGAGATGGGAGGAAAATGCGCGAATGAGGCCAAAAATGGCTTTGGGGTATTTCTTATGAGGAAATGACAACATAACATGGTAAAAAGTTCCAAAGGTTAGATTTTTAATTAGATTAAACCTTTACAAAAACTGTTCAGTTAACCTCTCAACTCCGTCCTCAATCTTGCATTTTGGATGATATTATCCATCCTCACTTCCTCCATCGCTGTGTGGTACGCTGGAGCCACAGTGAGGGACAAACACAGACTGCAGCGCATTGTGCGCTCTGCTGAGAAGGTGATTGGCTGCAGCCTTCCATCTCTCCAGGACCTGTACGTCTCCAGAACTCGTGGGCGTGCAGGTCGGATAGCAGCTGACCCTTCTCACCCGGGTCACAGACTTTTTGAGCCGCTTCCCTCAGGCAGGAGGTTACGGTCCATCCGGACCAGAACCTCCCGCCATAAGAACAGCTTCTTTCCATCTGCCGTTAGACTTGTGAACAGCTTATAAACACACAACCAGGCTTGTCTTCGGTACTTGACATAACGTCACGTTATCGGCAATATTACCTTTACCTGCCATTTTTATAGCAAAGTTCTATGCTAGTTTATTATATTTTATTCAACTTTATTCTACTTTATTCTATTTTTTAATTATATTATTCATGTTATATGTAGCACGTTAGTACCGAAGCAAGTTCCTAGTTTGTGAATTGTTTGTTCACTGACAATGGCAATAAACCTTTTCTGATTCTGATTAGCTATAACATCCTCTTTGGTTCCAGAATGCTATCAAGTCTGACAACTGGAAGGAATTGGGCTGACTCTGGAATGGGCGGGGCTGACTCTGGTGCAGCCCCACCTTCTGGTGCAGCTCCGCCTTTGTGGTTCTGCAGCGAGCACCACATGGGTATCGGTGATACCGGTATCGGTGCATCCCTATTTCCTGTGTGTAAAACTATCTTCACAAGTTAATGTATGCATGTCAGGGTTGTATTAGTTAGGTTACCCTAGAATGTATGGCAGCCCCACCTCTGTCAGCTATGGCTACATAGTAAATTTGTGCTTGGGTAAATGACATCGGTAAATGACTGGTGAGTTGTAAAGCACCTTGGGGGGTTCTATGACTCTAGAAGGAACATTTATACAGGTCATTTACCATTGTTTGTTTGTTTGTTGTAGCAGAAAGGCTGAGGAATCTGCAGGACTTGACTCCTAAAATGCACCTGACTTTCTCTCACACAGCAAAACGTTTCAAGATGTCATAAATATCCCACTGAATGTTCTGGTAACACAGACTGTAGCTGTTAGCAGCCTGAACTCAGGTTTACTTTCACCACATGTCATCATTGGCATCATCTGTGTTTCAGTTGCTGAGTGACGAGCTCCATTACGAGCTAAGGAATTGTTTCTTTTTGTTTTGGCACGACTAACAAAAAAGCTAACTGTTTTGCTGTAGGAGGGAGAAACCGGATTGTAAAACTTTTGGGAGAGCTGTTAAATATTTTAATTTTGAATTCTGTACGAGGTTTCCAAAAAGCGCACATAAGTTAGTGTGACGCAGTAGTCCATGTTGAGTGTGATATTTGTTTGTAACTCTGATTAGGATGGGTTTTGCAGCGTCGTAAAGATTGATGCAATGAAACAGTGCTGTCTGTTAAACTGGAAAAACACCTCCACATGATGGTGACCTTTATCACTTATCCTCAAACAATGCAGCCTTGGTGGCTCTCCTGGGGCTGTTTCACAAGTGTGAGTGATTGTTGAAAGACGCCTCCGGGGTTAAAAATGTGGAAAAAGTCCAAATGACTTCCAGTAATGCTGTTTAGACACACCTTTAAAAAGCTTTTAAGGTGCATTTGAAGGCCGAGTAAATCAGCAAAATGGATTAAAATTGTGCCAGATGCTGGTCAGATGGTCTAGTGGTTGTCTATCAGTCTGAACGTCTTTGGTTTGATCTTGTTGTGTTTTTGAACCCATATTACCCCAACGTGTGTGTGTGTGTGTGTGTGTGTGTGTGTGTGTGTGTGTGTGTGTGTGTGTGTGTGTGTGTGTGTGTGTGTGTGTGTGTGTGTGTGTGTGTGTGTGTGTGTGTGTGTGTGTGTGTGTGTGTGTGTGAGACTAGACCACACGTACCTCGTTTCTTATTGTTATATATGTAAAATAAAGAATCTCTAAAGTGCTTCTCTAACTGTTCACGTTTAGCTGAAATGTCCGGTAACGGAGGTAAGACGAATCCCTGATGTCTTGTTAAAGAGCAAGTCACCCCCAAATAAACAGTTTTTTCCTGATAAACTATATAAATGTGTGTCTAATTGTGCTACAGACATGTGTAGACAATAGTTTTGCACTTTAGTGCATTTTAGTTGAAATTTAAAATTTCTGCCTAAAACTGTCAGTGTTGTGCCGTTGTCAGGTAAAAACTCTGCACCGCATTTGAATTTAAATCTGCCATCGCTATTGGCTAAGAGGTATGCTATGATGTAAACTGGTACCATATGATGTCACAATGTCGTTGTGAGCCTGTGTGTGTGTTTGTTAGCGGCTCCGCCCTCTCGGTTTGCTAGGCAACAGCATTTGTTGCATTTTCAAACAGGAAGTGGGAGTGAGGTAAGTTTCTTGTAGGGGGTGACTTGCTCTTTAACAAGACACCAAAATCAACTCCTAATCATTGAAATTGAAGCTCAGTAAAAAAGGCAATAACTGTAGCTTTGTTGCATCTTTTTTATATTTACACAGCTCTTCTATGTGTCCAAACACTCTGACATGAATCCGCTTGTCTGGAGATCTATATTTAAACTCAGCTATTCAAGTCATTCAGGTTATCAGCTTCAACAATGGAAAACCCCTAGCGTTTCCCCAGCCTAGTCCAAACAAATGTCCTGCTATACATCCAGCATGCCTCATTTTGTTTTACCCTCATGAAGTTCATTTCTGTTCCAGGCTGTTTCGCAGATGGGAGGACTGTGGAGGAAGGTGCTCACTGTTTGGGTGAACGTTGGAGGTTTACATGCTGGAGTCTACCTCCTGAAGAGGACCGCGGCCGTGTTTGGTCAAACACCTGAGGATGTTCGTCAACCAAGAGGGATGGCTGACACTCAGATGGATGAGAGGGACAACAAATGACGTAGCTTTCATCTCCCATCCATGGTGTGCCACTTGAGATCCGGCTTATTTCCTGTCCAAGTCTCTCTGGAATAAAAAGGCAGCTTTGTTCAGTAATTTGGGTTAAATTTGAGATTCAGCTGCTGTGAAAATGTTCACAATTTTTGACATCATGAAAAAATAAGTTGCTAATCGTACAAAAACCACATAATGTTCTGTTTGTGTTCATAATAAAGGTTAGAAATCGTGCTTGTGTTTTCATTGTGACTTAAGGTTTTAGCTGAAGGGTTTAACGTTTATTTCCTGTTATGCTAATTATTAGCTTAATGTGCTGACATGAGCGGTGCAGCTATGTTGTGCGCGCGCACTCAGGTAGGGGGTATCCCACAGCAGGGAAACTATTAGTCCAGCCTCGGATACTTTACGATAAACTAGCAGGAAACGACATACTTTTCTCACACACAACGGTGTGTTAATTTAACTTTTATTCGGGCTAAGGTTAAAGTAACATTTGATGTTTACACCACAAACAAACAACGAGTAAACAGTGCTGAAGTGAGTCAGGGAGCATGTATTTTCAAAAGTGTGGGGGATGTTGTCTGTGCCTAAAATAATTTCATGTTATTCATCTTGTTAGTTTAATTTCCGTAATAGCGGAGCAGGTGCGAATTTTAGACGTGTCACGCATGTCTCCGTTTTAAACATGTTTAAACTGTTCAGAATACAAATCCAGGCTCCGTCTCGTTAGATTGGTATAACTAAAGTTTGTACTGAATGAAAATTTACATTAAACCATGTTGAAAAGAAAAGGATCCGATGAAATCGTTTCCCCCTCCTTTACAGTCATGAAGTACAGCGCAGTGCACGTGGCTCTGGGGTTAATAAAGTTTAGTTGTTTCTCTTTGCAACAATCTTCACAAGAAGGCAAAACCGTTAAATGGCAGGTTACAGATATTTCCATTTGACTGTTTATTTTGACGGATAAACTCAAGGATGTTGGTTGTTTTGAAAGAATTGCCCCGACGCACACAGATGCGCACATAGACGAGCTGACATTTTAATCGTTAACGCACATCGCGGAGGTAACTAAATAAATCAAGAAATGATTCCCATCAGAACATCACAGCTCTATACTGGACACTGTGCTCAGCGCAGCTCGCAGTGCCCACGGTGGACAGTGAGCTGAAGATCTAGAGGGGAGTGCAGTGCAGAACCACGGCGCATGCGGTAAGATTTCCTCCCACTGACGCGGTCTGGAAAGCCGGTCTCTCTGAGGGATGTGTCACTTGTTCTCTGATTATGAAACTGGCTGAATAGCGCTTGTTCCCGTCTCTAAAATGGAGACGCATGGCGCATCCAGTCTGAGGCAGAATAGCCTCTTCAGCTCAGAAAGCACCTGCAGAGACATTTGATTACACACAAAGTTTATGTGGAGCAGAAGCGGTCGGGCCACGGCAGGTGAAATGTTCCTAGCCTACATGAAGTGAAACTGTTTAATTGTAACATTAATATGTTACTGGACACGCTGGTCTGGTTGGTTAGACCAGTGTTTGAAGTGGAAAACACGCGCGCGCAAACACAAACGCTCACACACCAATTACAATAATGCTGATAGCGTGGACTAGAAGACAGCTGATGGTTTACGTATTTAAATGATGATCAGGCTGCTGTAAAATGTAATCTCCATCCACATCCGGACAGAATTATCCTCTATTCTGTCTCTATTTGCTCTGCTCTTGTCTGGGCTGACGTAGCTGATGGTGCGCGCGGTGCGCCTAACTAGCGGCTGTGATGCACATTTTACGCATTTGGAGAGGTGGGCTGGATGCTTTGCTTTTACAGGAAGATGGATTTATTTTCTCAAAAATGTGGGAGATTTTGCTCCATGAATAACCGTAAATACTGGTGCATGTACCCTTATGAAAGAGTCGTTGAGAGGTAAATATTAGAAGTGCAGGTAATGCATTTTGGTGCCTATAAATGAAAAATGAATGAAAATGAAATTGTGAGTTTTTACTTCATATTTTAGATGTAAAAATGATGGGGGAACACATTTATGACGTCTTTTTAAACGAAAATTTCTAGCGCGACCTGCCTGCTTCACTTAAGTCACTGCTTATTAAGGTCCGTCCAAAATTACTGTGGCCCACCCAAAAATGTAAACCTGGCGCAGCGCCTGTTACAAACCTCTGCAAATTGTTGCTCTTCACTTCGTCAAACTCAGAGTTTGTACAGCTAATGTCAAGATGTAAAATTATGAATTCAGTCGGGCTCTTCCCTCCCTCCCTCTTCAGAAGAGGTGCAGGTGTTGAATCCCCCACACCCCCCACGGGTACGACGCCCATTGCGACTCCCCGGTGTGTTCATTTAACATGACGCAGTGATGGAATGGCGCCTGTTGAGTTTTACAGGAAATTGGCGTCACTGACAAGGTGATGTCATGCGCATTCGCAATAACTGGGTGTAGACGCATTAAAACCAATGAGCGGTCTGAAGGGAGCATTCAGACTTTCAGGAGTTTGAGCACTAGAAGATGATCTGGCTCGTTCCCCTCCTTGTTCTGCTTTACCTAACCTTCACACGGCGCTGGAGGTGAGTGATCAGCCCTAACCCGAGCCCTCCAGCTCAGGTGAAACGCGCTTTTTGTTGTGAAATCTCTGGTTTGGTTGCACACCCACGGGAATGTCCGATTTGCGTGTAAAACGTTAAAAAAAATTATTGGACTACACTCATCAGTAGGTTGAGTATTTTAGGACTGTTACTAGTTCAGCTCATGCGTTTGTCTTTGTTTTCCCTGCATGACACGAATGACTAGACCCACGTGACTGTATTTGTGAGTAAAACTGTCATCGCTTATCTAGGGTCATGATGAAACCCGACTGGCTCGTGCATGCCAACAATGTAGCTTAGACAAAGAAAAGTCAGTGAACCTTCTTGTTCGTTTGATTTACACACGCAAAAATAATTGTTTTTGTTTTAGGTGTAAGAACGAGCCGCCCCTTGATCCAGGATTAATCCCGTGGTTGGGTCATGCGCTTGAATTTGGAAAGGACGTTCCCAGATTTATAAACCGAATGAAGCTGAAACATGGAAATATTTTCACTGTAAGTGGGCTAAAACCTTTGTGCCAAAGCCCGAACATGTATAAGATAAAGAACATTCACTTGAAAGTCATGATCATGTCAGCAGTTAAAATGGCCAGGCTTTATCTGAGTTTAGACTTCAGTTAATCAGCTGTTTTTGTGGGTTTTTTAATTGTAAGATTAATTTTAATGTAGATAATCGAATTAGTCCATGTTAGAGACATTGAACCCTGACAGAACCAGTCAATGAAGCCAGACACAGAGAAGTGTTAACCACAAAGCTCCTCAGTAAAACACTACAGCGGGATCTCAAACAGATGAGATGTTCCTTTTTGTTTGTTTTTAAATTCTGTCATCAAAGATGCATTTTATTTTATCTGAAACGATCACTGAGAGCAGGTTTCAAACGAAGCATCACCCTGTAGTTTTATTTAATTCTGAATAATGTCAAGCTTTTATATGTCAGACACAACAGTCCCCGATGATCTCTGATACCAGTGAGTTAGGTGAGCTTTATAACCCAACATATCTCTAACTGCTTCTACTCCTCCTGCACGTCGGACAGGTCCGTGTGGCGGGTCGCTACGTCACATGGCTGCTGGACCCTCACTCGTACGACGCCGTCATCGACGATCCGGACTCCCTGGACTTTGCCTGCTATGCTCAGGTTCTCATGGAGAGGATTTTCAACCTGCAGCTCCCTCCACAGCAGCCAGCGAAAGCAAAGGCCATGATGAAAGGGTACTGCTCAGCTCAGCTTGATTTCACTTTATGTGGACTAAGAAAATCTCTTAATACCACACCCTTGATGATTTTCCTCCTGTTTCGTTCCAGAGATTGTTTTTATGTGATCTGAACACGGCTTGAATATTCAGCCGGACAAACTTGTGAATTACTGGTTTGTAAAAAGCTCCAAAAAGAGAAAAAGTCTTAAATCTTTTTATTTTCTAATATTCCATCAGCATTTTAAAACCTGCTTCTTTTGTGTCTTCCCAGCCTTCCAGCTTTTCCAGTTTTCTTTTATAAACAGCTCACTCTTTAACATTCCCATCAGTTAATGCCGCCTTTAATTTGAGCAGCACTGACTTGTGTCACGACTCCACTTCTCACCTTCTGTAACCTTTGTAACGCCTGCAGGTATTTTTTGGGAACGAGCATGTCCACTCTGAACAGCACCATGGGCCGGCACCTGGAGACCCTGCTGAGAACAGAAACTCTGCAAAACCAGAGGAACTGGAAGAAGGAGGGACTCTTCAACCTCTCCTACAGCTTACTCTTTAGGTAAATGCCTTTCCTCCCACGCACAGAATGCTCTGAATCGTTGATGTAAATGTCAAATTAAAAGGCTTTCAGCTAAACAGTTTACACACCAGTCTGAGTAGAGCTTCTCTGTTTGTAAACACGGTGAGAAAAATGTTCTTTGTGGTGAAACGGTTTGGGATTAGGTTTCTTTGTGCTCTGAGTGGTGAGTCGTTAAATTCTCATTGGTCAAAAATGTGAAACGTAATCTGTGTGGAGCCTTGGGGCAATGCTGCACACGCGTTAGGTGTGTCTGTGGGAAAACCCTCATTGCATGTGTGGCCTGTTTAACTCCCCATCAAAAGAAAAACATCAGTCATTCATCAGCTGGAGAAAGCTGCCCATGCCCGCTCTTCTCTCGTCTCCGCCTTGCTGCAGGGCGGGGTACCTGACGCTGTTCGGAGGGGAGCAGAACAACAACAGCACGGATCCCTGCAGAGTCTACGAGGAGTTCAAGAAGTTTGATGGTGTCTTGTGCAAACTGGCAAGGGGCACACTGGGAGCAGGTACGAGCTTCCTCCTCAGCTCCTCGCAAACACAAAGCATGTTTAAATAAAACAAACATCTGTGAGTCAGGAGTGGGCGTTACGCCGCTGTTTACTTAATGCAGTGCGACATCACTGAAATGAGCTCCTTAGAGTTGTTTGTGTGGTTGCTACGACGAGTTACGAGTTTATTCAGGATGCTTACATCACGTCTGGGGTTTGTGGTTTTTATAACATTGACTCAAAAGTGTTGACCTAATCCACCTCATGCAACCATCATCCACCCAAAACTACCGAGAACTCTTGTCCGTGTCACTGCACGCCTCCTCCAGCTGTGCATGCCTTAACGGAGGACTCCCACAGCCGGAGCACAATCATATCTGTTAGTGGATTCTCTTCATGGGTTGTTTGTGTTGTTTTTTTGGTGACTCACTGGCTGATGTGATGTTTATCTGTGTGCGATAGAGGAGAGGGAGACAGCACAGAGTGTTCGGAGAAGACTCTGGGAGCTTTTGGCTCCAGCCGGTCTGACTGAGAACTCGGGGTCAAGCCGCTGGCTTTACGCCTACAGACAGCTGCTGCAGGAGGATGGGGTCGACGAGGAGACGCAGAGGAAAGCCCTGCTGATGCAGCTCTGGGCCACTCAGGTGAGTCAGGACTCCAGGGAGTGCCCTTCGTTGTAAAGAGAGGTTAGCATTAGCTTGTGACTACCACCAGAGCTTAGACTAGTTTGTCTGATTAGTCAGATCTCTGGACTTTTATGTTCATCTGCACAGAATCTTGAGTTTAGAAGGTGCAGTACTGTTTCCTGGCACATGGGGGTGCCGTTTGCTTCTGATGGAGACTGGGAGGGCTCAGTGGTTGCTTTAGCAGCATTGGACTTCTAATGAGGGCTTTTAATAAAATAAATCTGAAATGATTGTTTACTGTTAATAAAAACAAAAGATTAATCAAAGACATCCGAATATTCTAACATTTCTTTAAACATAACATTATTGAGCAGTCTGTAGGTGCATCCTGTTTATGCTGTTTAATGTTTGAAGATTTATTTTTTATTTTTTTACCATTTATTTGCTGCTCCAGTTTTATAGTATAAAGTTAAAGCTCACAAATTTGGCTTTTTTTTAAGGGTTTGTCCGTCCACTCATCCACTTATCCCAGGTTGCGTCGCGGGGGCAGCAGCCTAAGCAGAGGCCCAGACTTCCACTTGGGCCAGCTCATCCAGGGGAATCCCAAGGCACTCCTGGCTAGCTGCGAAATGATAAATGACCCACACTTGTATAACACCTTTCAGAGTCAGAGGACTCCAAAGTACTTTACAGTACAGTGAATCAGTCATCCATTCACACGTTGAGGGTGATGAGCTTCATTGTAGCCACAGCTGTCCTGGGGTGCACGGACAGAGGCGAGACCAGCTGAGCACAGGCACCACCGGCCCCTCAGACCACCAGCAGATGTCCTGCCCAAAGACACAACAGCAGCATTCTCTTCCAGGAGCCGGGATCGATCCCAGCACCCTCCACTTGCTGGATAATCCGCTCTGCCTCCTGAGCTCCTACTTCCCACAAACTTAGGGTGTTTCTCAATGCAAAGGAACCGTGTCTTGATATTTTGGTCCCACCCTAGTTGCCTAGGAGATAAGTCATCAGGAACCACCAAGGCGTGTACCAATGTTCCGGTGCTACTGAGGCGTGTGTTCTCCATTTGTTAGCCGTTTGGCTAGCTGACCAAGGACACATGGGTGGTGCCTTGTAGCCTAGCCTTGGTCAAAGATTTCCCAGAATTCAGCGTGGTATTTTCAAAAGGATGGTGGATCGGGAGCTGGCAGCAACTTTGCGGCAAATTTCCAGTTTAAATGTAAGTCAACTGATTGTAGCTGATATCTGAAATGTTTTTTTTTTTATATCCAAAGCAGTTTGCCATGGTTGGTTAGTTGCGGGAAGCTGCGGTCACGTGATGCAAGTCAGTTCCATTTACCGCCATCTTTAACAGGCACCTTGACACTGAGAAACATCCACAGTCCCTCCAGCGTGTCCCGGGTCTTCCTTTAGGTCTTCTCCCAACTGGACGTGCCCAGAAAACCTTGCTAGGGAGGCATTCTAATCCAATGCCTGTACACCACAGGCACTTGTGAACAAGACCCTGAGATGCTTAAACTGCTCCACTTGATGAGAAAGGGATTGATGTACACACACACGCACACACACACACACGCATTTATTCACTTTTGTCTTCATGGTTTGTTTTAATACAATCAGTCTTTTCAAAATAAAACTACAACAAGAAGCTAAAAGATATTTATAAATCAGAATAATCTCTTTAGTTTAATCAGTAAAATAAACACGTCTCTAAAAATGTTAGAAACTATATTGCTTTTATTTTATATCTGGATAAATATTTAGGTTTAGGAAAAGCTTATAAATTAAAGACGACTCTAGTCATATCTGTTCATCTTCCCTGTTGTGTTTCTATATTTCTCTGTACTTTATTTCCAGTTTTGCCGTGACACTAGCTGTCCTGCTCTTGAACGCAGGCAGATGGCGGGGGACTGCAGGTTTCCCATGGCTTTCCTTTTTAAGTAAACCATTACTGCGCTGGGCTTTGCCAGAAGTGATTTAATCCCGAGCGTGGCTCTTCTCATCCCAGACACATGAAAGGAAACCGTTCCTGTCTGTCCTCCAGCTCTGTAAAACCATTAGCCTTCTTCATTTAATTTAAAAAAAATCTGTGCTTTGTCACAACTCTACCAGAAGGTAGATTTGGGTACCGTGGGTGTCATTTGATGTTTTTATTTGCGTTACCCAAAAGCCACCTGCACTGTCACTGTGCAGCATCAGAGTAAGAGATCTTATCTTCACGCTCATTTGACTTCCTGTTGTTTTGGTTTCTTTTTCAGGGTAACGTGGGTCCTGCTGCTTTCTGGCTCTTGGGTTACATGTTGACAAACCCTGAAGCTCTAATGGCAGTAAAAAGAGAGCTGGGCCAGATCTCACGGACGGAGAACTCAGGGACTCCTCTTGTGCAAAGATCTGAGAACACCCCTGTGTTTGGTAAGGGGGAGGGGCATTGTTAGCAGAAAAGAAGTGATTTGTAACATTTATTCTGCTGTGCTGACGTATCTCCACTTGTGCGTTTGTAAATATCCATTACAGTTGGGTGTTCTGACACAAACGGTAACCACTTCTGTCTTGTTCCTCTCAGACAGCGTTCTGGAAGAGACTCTGAGACTCACCGCCGCCCCCTTCATAACAAGAGAGGTAGTGCAAGACAAGATTCTCTGCATGGCTGATGGCCAGGAGTACCTGATAAGAAAGGGAGACAGGGTGTGTTTGTTCCCCTTCATCAGCCCTCAAATGGACCCTGACATTTACCAGGAGCCGCAGGTTGGTTGTCGTTTCTTTTTCAAGCAGCTGCGTCGTAGCTGCTCTGCTGCCAACTCCAGTTGCAGCACGTGTCTCAGAGACGTGTTGGAGGCAGATTTTGGCGTAATTAGCATCAGTGGTTGTTTGTGTAAGCTGGAATCAGAGCCTACACAACACCGTGAGAGGTCAGATCTGGAGCTGAGGGCCACTCGGGGATTAGCAGAGCACGGGAACAGGAATAGAGATAATGGACGTGGGAAAGGCACCCATGTCTCCTTTGAGAAACAAAACAATAAATAAATCTTACTACTGTCAACTAAAAAACTATCTGGCATCAACAAGGCGATTATGCACGTCTCATAGCTGCTGTTTCCCCTCCAGAAATTCAAGTATGATCGCTTCCTGAACGGGGACGGATCGGTGAAGAAGGACTTCTATAAAGGGGGGAAGCGGTTGAAATATCGCACCATGCCGTGGGGTGCAGGGACCAACGGCTGCGTGGGGAAGTCGTTTGCCATCAATACCATCAGAAAGTAGGTCCTCATGTAATACACCACTCTGCGTCCGACTGCTCAGAGAAACAAGCGTTTCACATTTCTGCTTGGTTGTCTCAGTTTTCTGTTTCATCTGTGTTTACTGTCCAGGTTTGTTTACATCTTGTTGACTAACTACGATCTGGAGCTCTGTGACCCGAATGCTCAGATGCCAGAGATAGATGTTAGTCGTTATGGATTTGGGATGCTGCAACCTGAGAGAGATGTGTTCATCCAATACAGACCCAAGGAAACACACTAGTCACCCCCCAGACAAAAAAACAACGTTTTATGTACATTTCACCCTAAGAGCAATGTTGATTGTGGCGGTATGTGTTGCATATCTACATGTAAAAGCTGATTATTTTTTATATTTTTCAATAAATGAAATACTTTATGTACAGTTCTGGTTACTGTGTGTGTGTGTGTGTGTGTGTGTGTGTGTGTGTGTGTGTGTGTGTGTGTGTGTGTGTGTGTGTGTGTGTGTGTGTGTGTGTGTGTGTGTGTGTGTGTGTGTGTGTGTGTGTGTGTGTGTGTGTGTGTGTGTGTGTGTTCCTGTACATACTAAATACTGAGTACCATTTTGACCATTTTCCCTACAATGTGAGGACATTTTTCAAAATGAGGAAATGTTTTTTGGTCGTCACATTTTTTAGAAGCTTACCAGAAGCTTACTATACCAGTTAGAGGTATAGTGTGTGTGAATTAAGTTTACCAATAGATCAGCATTGGTCAGGTTTAGGGTATGGGTTAGGCATAGTGGAATCACAAAAATGAATGGAAGTCAATGGAGGGTCCTCACTATGATAGAAAGACAGGTGTGTGTGTGTGCGTGCGTGTGTGCGCAGCCATGTGCTTGTTCTGAAAAAAAAAACAAATCACAATGAAATAATGCTAATCTTCTGTGTTTGACTTTTCGGAGCCAACAGTTAAAGCAGAGAGTTATTTATGTCAGCTTGTCAGGACGAGTGTAACGAGGGGGACTGTCTGTTCTGTAAACAGAGCTGGGCTCACATCTGTTTGGTGTATCATCCCAGCTGTTTGCTGAGGGAAGCGGCGTGGAAACCCAGCGCTGTTCAGACAATAACTAATTGTTTACTCACAAGAGAATATCTGTCATAGATTAGGATTAATTTAGTGTGTTATGAGGGGACAACAAAGTTATGTTCCGGTTCTAACTTGGAGAAATCTTTCATTATGTTTAGCTCACGCTTCCAGACTTTTCTGGAGCAAAATTTCTGAAGGTCGTTTTCTTCAGACCTTTGTTTTTCACAAATGTTTCCTCCTTTTGTCCAATAGCTATAAAATCATATTAATTTTTAACGCATGAATCATTCACATTAAAACAGCTCTTCAGCACAGAACCAACTCTGAAGGTCATTCATGAGTGGTGCGTCTCTCAGGTCCTGTTTGACGGAATATGTCTCATTTTTTCTAAGACGTCACCTGACTTTTATTAGCTGTGAGTAAATAATTAACCCTGACTCTTCTTTTGCCCCCTCGTGTTGCTATAGTCAGCTAACCCTAACCCTAACCCTAACCTTAAAGTGTGAAAATGCAGCCAAAGTTGGAAAAATAACTTTCAGAAAACTTTGAGAACTGTTGATCAAGATGACTTGAAAAATACAAAAAGTCTGACTGAATGAATGCAAAACACAAACAAATCTGACACGATGGCCATGCTTGTCACTGTTGTAAAATAATAATTTGTACTCCATCTGTAGTGCTTAAAGAGCAAGTCACCCCCAAATCAACTTTTTTTTTGCTGATAAACTTTACACAAATGCGTGTTTAATCGTGCTGCAGACACGTGTAGTCAATAATTTGTTTGTTTCAGTGCATTTTAGTTAAAATTTAAATGTTCTGCCTAAAACTGTCAGTGTTGTGCCGTCGTCAGGTGAAAACTCTGCACTGCATTTGAATTTAAATCTGCCACTGCTATTGGCTAAGAGGTATGCTATGATGTAAACTGGTACCATATGATGTCACAATGTCGTTGTGAGCCTGTGTGTGTGTGTGTGTGTGAATTGGTTTGCAGCTCCGCCCTCTCGGTCTGCAAGGCAACAGCATTTGTTACATTTTTCAAACATGAAGGGGGAGTTGAGTAAGAATCTGGCAGGGGTTGACTTGCTCTTTAAATGGTAAAGAAAAACATTCTAACACAAACTTTTAAAATGCAAAGTCATAAAATCAGACTTATCAGCTGTTTTGAAAACTGCAACACCTTATCTGGTCTCTCAGGAGCCAAGTCTACAAGGCTGTAAGTCGTTTGTGATATTTAATCATTCAACCATGCATTTCTAAAGGCTGACACTTAGTTTGCTTCTCCGGCTCTGTGAGGGTTAACTCCACGCAGGCTGCGCCGCTGGAGGAGCCTCAGCACAGACAGCATCTCCTCCTCAGCCGGGGAGGACACACTCTCAGCACCACAGCCGAGATATCGAGTTCATTCCCGGCCACACACTCTGGAGCCTACCGGCTGATTCGCTCTGAGTGTTACACAAGCCGAACCAGACATTTTATTACCTTTTTATTGCTTAAATAAACGTTAACCATGTCGGTGCGTGGCTCACGGTGCCTCCTTCAGCTGCCAGCAGAGTGCCGGAGACCAGCTTAACAAGTTGGAGCGCACTCGCTCAGGAGATGATGCTAAATTCGGTCCAGGAGGCAAATCTGAGTTTGGGGAAGACACGTACGTATCATTTTAATTCTCTTTATCATGCCTGGCTGTGTTTCATCTGCATGATTTTTAGAATTACTATTATTATTTCCACCATTTTACTGCTCATTCGCTATTGTTTATAATGTAGAGCAGCTAATATTATTGATTCATTCAAATGAGCCGCTAAATGCAGCACAGTTGCGTACCTCAGAGAAGCATGTTTGGTGCAACAAAAACAAACTTTATTGCATGACACACATTTGAAACATCATTCTGGTCTTGTGAGTGTGACTCGTCTGGACTCTGTGCCGCCTCTCTGGTCTCCAGGGGATAAAACAGTCTGTTATGGGCTGTTAATCAAAGTTGATAATCGGTATCAGTATTAGATCCGATTAAAACCGCCCTGGACAACAGGCTCGGTACATGTTCACTCAGCAGCACGTTTGTAGGTAGATCTGCGGCTGTCCCGCCCGAGCGGACTCCGGTTCAGCACCGCGGACAGCAGCGGAGCGACGGCAGGGGTTTCAGCACCGGACAGCTCCCAGCCGGTCCGGCTCATCGCTCCACGACCGTGTCAGCAAGAACAGCGGCTGTGCTGTACCTCAGTCTTAAAGCTGATTAAATATCTATTCGGTCCTGTGATGAGTGGATAAACCAGCTGACATTGCTGCTGTAGGACACCGGCGCTGCCCGCTCACTCACCCCTGAATAATTCACTTCTTCTTTTGCCGTTTGTTCTTTTTCAGGGCAACTAACCAAGGGGGATCCTGATGCGGTCAGAGTCAGGACCGCGGATTCGTAATCTCCCAGACTTGTGAGTGACCCGCTGACTGGAGCGAAGATGATGAAAACTGGGGCTCGGTTGACCACCACGCTGCCTCCGGAAACCATAGACATCATCCGGACTAAAACACCCTCCCGCCGGGCGAGGCTCAACGTCGGAGGGCTTCTTCATGAGGTCCTCTGGAGGACACTGGACAGGCTGCCTCGCACCAGGCTGGGCAAACTGAGAGACTGCAACACCCACGAGTCCATCATGGAGATATGCGACGATTATAACTTAGATGGTAACGAGTACTTCTTCGACAGACATCCGGGCGCCTTCACCTCCATCCTGAACTTCTACCGCACAGGGAAGTTGCACATGATGGAGGAAATGTGTGCCCTCTCATTCAGCCAGGAGCTGGACTTCTGGGGGATTGACGAGATCTACTTGGAGTCGTGCTGCCAGGCCAGGTATCACCAGAAGAAGGAGCAGATGAACGAAGAGCTAAAAAGAGAGGCCGAGAACATGAGGGAGAGAGAAGGAGAGGAGTTCACCACCACATGCTGCTCAGAGAAGAGAAGGAAACTATGGGACCTCTTGGAGAAGCCGAGCTCCTCGTTTGCTGCCAAGGTAATGTTTTAATTTGAGTCTCCCCTTCTCCCCACGGCCAGGTCATGCAAGGGGAAGCAAGTAATCTGAGGAAGTGTAACAGGAGAAACGGTCAGAAGATACAGTTAAAAAGGATTACAAGTTAAAAAATATCAGCGCGAGAACCGGATTCTACCTGTGGCCCCCTGGTGGTGACACAACGGTATAGCCACTCACACCAGAGAACACATTTTACATAACAATGAAAATTAATGTAGAGTTGTCTGTTTAAAAAAATAGAAAACAAAACTTCTACAAGATCATAAACGACCAGCCTGAACTGTTCAACATACTACCCACAATGCATCACACATGCGTTCATCAGGTTGTCAAACTCATCTATGAAGAGTGTTAGAGTATTTACTTAGTTTGACACAAATAAATAACTAAATATCGCAGTAATGTGTATGCATAATAGTCGTGTGATATGTCGAGCTTCTATCATTCCAATAGGTAAACAATATGATTAAATAACTTATCATAAAGGTTCTTAATTATGCTCTTCATTTAATGTTTGGCTTTGTTGATAACTTAAAGAGCAAGTCACCCCCAAATAAACTTTTTTTTGCTGATAAACTAAATAAACGAGTGTCTAATCGTGCTGCAGACACGTGTAGTCAATAATTTGGCATTTCAGTGCATCTTGGTTAAAATTTAAATATTCTGCCTAAAATTGGCAGTGTTGTGCCGTTGTCAGGTAAAAACTCTGCACTGTATTTTAATTTAAATCTGCCACCGCTATTGGCTAAGAGGTATGCTATGATTAAAACTGGTACATTATGATGTCACAATGCTGTCGTGAGCCTGTGTGTGTGTGTATTTGTTAGCAGCTCCGCCTTCTCAGTCTGCCAGGCAACAGCATTTGTTGCATTTTTCAAACATGAAGTGAGAGTGGAGTTAGACTCTGGTAGGGGTTGACTTGCTCTTTAAGGAAAAATCACAGAAACCATTTTTCCTTTAAGGCCATCTTAATTAGCTTCTATGTGCTTGCATAATTCAGCGGAGAGGCTGGATGTTGATATATGACTGTTGTTGTTAGCTAATGACAACCGTTGGGTTTGCACTTCTATGCTGCTGATGTGGTTGCCATGGTAATGCAACACGTCCCCACAAAGTACACAGATGAGTATGTTGACTAATCAGACTAAACTTGGGCTTGTTGTGTTAGAACAACAGCCAGTCACTGGAATCCCATGAGCACGTGCTTCAGACGTAGAGCAAAGGTTTACGATTATGTTATTAATAAGTGCAAGGGTGGTTCAGTTGGTATCAGTGCTGCCTCACAGCGAGAAGGTTGCCGGTTAAAATCTCCATTGCGGCCTTTCTGCATGGAGTTTTCATGTTCCCCTCATGCATCATGTGTGGATTTGGTGCTCTGGTTTCCCCCCACAGACCAAAAAACACACATGTTAGGTTAATTAGTAACCTAAATTGTTCCTAGGTGTGAGTGTGTGACTGTTTCTGTTGTCCCTGTGAGTCCCTGTGATGGACTGGAGACCTGTCCAGGGTGTCCCCCGCCTCTCGCCTGCTGGAGATAGACACCAGCTCCCCGTGACCCTGCTGAGAATGAACAAGTGTGTGATAATTAATTAGGAGGGTGTGCTCTTCAGTTTTCAACCATGGCTTTGCTGAGTAATGTTGGCGCGCATAAACTCAGCCACACAGACTTTTATCGGTGTCTCTAGTAAACAGACGAGGGGAAACACTAACCAGGATCTTTAAGGCGGTATTGTCCCATGCATCATGAAAAGTGCTAATTGTCATGTGTCTAAACCTTATTTTGAATACTAACCCCGTTCAGACTAGCTAACACAATAAATAGCAAACAGTTTAAAATGTTCCGTATCATGCTATTTTAAACCTTTGAGAGCAAAGTTAGGCACAGTATATGATAAAATATTACCTTTTTTTCCATGTCCCGATCAGCCGTAAAGCAATCAGAATGGATGTCTGAGTGTCGAAGACAAGCCTCACAGTTTTAATCTCACACGTGGAGCATTATAGCTTCTGCTAAAATGCCCCGCCTGATGCCAAAACGTTATTAGAAATGTTTTCGGTTGTTTTAAATCCCAACGGACATGGAGACAGCAATGAAAGAGAAAGAGGGAGAGGAAAAGAAAGAGGTGGGGGATTCACAAAAATAAACAATAAAGGATGTATAAGAATCCGCTTTTGGACCTGCAGGAAAAAAAAAGTTTAAAAAAGTGGTACACAAAAATACAACAGAAGGAAAATGTCACTGCGCCAACCGCATGATATATAACAGTAACAGTTTCTGCTGGAAAGCACACGGTAATAATTCATAGTGCATTTAGTGCCAACCACAGCCGCAGGTTATGTGTCAAATATGCCCAAGTCCATACTTGTGAGAGCACCATGTGAGCACCTGTGTGTGTGTACACACAATTGTGTTCAATAGTGAGTGCGAGGGGTCACAGACCTGCCCCCAAAGACCTGTGGGAGATGGAGGAGAATCAAGCCTCACAAATCCAGAGGTCTCCCCTGGAACGCGGCAACTCCAGGGAGATTACCGTTGGCACTATTGAGATGTGAATTTTAAATACAAGTTTTTTTTCCTCAGCCTGAATTTAGACCCGGAAATAAAACGTTTTGTTTCTGTGGAACTCCGACCACAAAATGTGCTCACAACAGCGTCTTAGGCAAGTCAGTTGCTGTATTGGTAATGGTAGTCCAGTGGTTAAGGCATCTCTTTGGGCACTCTAACCACTAGACTACCAAGTCTGTTGAATGACACCAGGTGCTTAAGCCATAAATCCTGTGCTGGCCAGGAGAGGCAGGTTTCAGACCAGAGACTAGCTTCTGGGCGAGGAGCAGGACCTGATTGAAGAAGTAGCACCACCACATGGTAAAGAGCTCAGAAAAGTGGATTTTCCATGATATGGCCTCTTTAAAGCTAAACAACAGAATGATAAACATGTTTAGACCAGCTTGGATTGACTTTTTCACCCTGAGCTGTTGCTTTTAATCTGTAAATTAAAACACTTTGCATTAAGAAAAGCTGCAAAAATAAGTATTTTCCTCAGTTTTTATAAAATTATGTGACATTTGAAACTTACCATTTAATCTACAATATAAGTATAATGAGGTGTAATTTTTCAAAGGGGAGCTGGTTGCTGTTTTACTGGTGAGTTAATCAACTCTTTTGTTCTCAGTTCATTTTTCTTGTTATTAGGAAACATGACACCCCCAATTGTTTCCCTTTATTGGTTTGAGTCAGATAACACAGCCGGTGGCTTCAGCTTGCAGATAACTCGGGGTAATTAATGAGAGTTTGTTTGTCAGTGGTGGGATTGGGAAGCAGGACGGAAGGAGCCTCATCACTTAGTGTTAGAGTTGTGAGCGCTGCAGGAAGTCTTCCTGTGCAAAATATGTATTTTTAGACCTTCCTATCACACACACACACACACACACACACACACACACACACACACACACACACACACACACACACACACACACACACACACACACACACACACACACACACACACACACACACACACACACACACACACACACACACACACACACACACACACACCCCTCTGTCATCTCCTCACCACAGTCAGCCCTCTTGGCTTCATTTGCCACCTCTGTCTCATTTCCAGTTGAGAATTCAATCATCCAGCTCATTAGCAGGCTCATAGCTCACCTTCCAGGACCCAGAGAACTTCACTCTGGTGGATCAATGAGAGCTTTCGTGTTAACGGCACTTTTAAATGGACAGAACGGGCAAATTAGGTGAAGCGGGGTCAAAATGTTGAAACCTTAAATCTTTATTATGAGATAGAAACATGGAAGTTATCTTACGTCAGATTTTCCAGTGTCACCAGTGCTTGGTAAAACAAAACCACACACAGAGAAGACAGAATATGCTCTGGTCTGTAGCATTTCACGTTTTTAGAGCTATTTTATTTTTGCGCGTCTCTGGAGGAAGGGGTCAAACCCAAAGGCGCAGTGAGAAGACCTCCTGTCTAGAACTGCATGCTAACCGCTCCAGGAGCATCAAAAAAGTTGTGGCGGTCAAATCATTAGTCAGAGATGTTTCAAACACCTCTTTGAACAGGAGTTCCTGCATAATTTATATAACTCATCTATTTAAAGAACCTCGTCTGTCTCTGACCTCAACTTACAGAAGCTTTTAATTATTTTTGCTTAAATATTCAATCACGCTTCTTAAAGACATAAAATACTACAGCAAGTATCCTGAGCTTGGTGTTCAGGGCAGAATTGATGAAAATGGGGAACAGAACTTTAGACAGACAAGCAGAAATAGTAGATTAATCTTTTGTTTTATAAGTTTTTAATTTGATCTATGATTACTAAATTCATTGTTTTGTATCAGCTTCATTGGGGACACTCTGCTAATTTTACATATTTTAGCCAGTATGTGCTAAAAGGATCCTTTACAGGGTTAATGAAAGGCCACCCAGCCCCTATCGCTCCCTGTGGACAGAATATTCCACTTGCAACTTCAGAGTTGCCAGTCCGGTCTTTTGGGACTGACCCCTTCTTTCCACTGCACGTGAAACGGTAGTGAAACGGTGATGAAACGTACTACGTGGCAATTAGCCGCAATTATAGTGTATGAGTTTCTTTCCACCGGCAGCAAAGTGTAACGTTTTGGGTGCGCCCCAGAGGCAATGGGACGATATCATTTCATTTTGAGTAAAATTTTTTATGTGCCATGCTTCAAATTACATCAAAGGTGAGCAGTTCAGGGGCCACAAAGAAGGGGCCCGTGGGCCAGGTCCGTCTATTGGGTACTGCTGTTTTAGATCATGAACACAAACGTGATGAATCCCTCCTGTAGACACTAATGAAGGCTGGGGAGATGTTTCAGCTGTTAGATTATGGTGTTTAAAATACAACGCACAGCGAGAAGATTGGGTTCTACAAATGGACACTAGGGCATGCTAAAAGCAAGCCAAAACTCCCTAGTTCCCCTTTAACTGTGATGC